TTATAGAAATTGGAAAACCATGGAGAAGAGAAAGCTGAATGGCAACAAACTCAGAAAGCTCAGAATTTGAAGATGTCAGCAAATATTTGCGAATACAAAATAACATCTTGTTAAAGTTGCAAGGAATAGTTTCATGGTAAGCTGCTACTTCTATCTGGGCACAGATCTGCCCTGATAAATTTCTGATACTCAGCTCACGTGCTTGGGCTGTCTGCTGCCTGTGATAACATGGTAAGGAGGGCAGCACTGATGCTAATGTGTTAGAGGTTGTATTATTCTGCACATGCCTTTAAGGCTTAACTGAACTGCGTTCAGTGAGGTAGGTGGTGACTGTTACATGCACAGTATACCTGGTGTACTCACCTTCCTCTTGAAATGAAGGTCTGGGAAGCTGTAGCAATCTAACCAGGAAGCTAGAAGAAAGCTGCAGACGTGCCTGTGATTCACAGGAAGGCACCAGTGGCAATGAAGGGTAAATTTCAGTAGTGATTCATTTTAATTCCTCCCAAGCTCAATGTTTCACATCCCAGCCCAGAGCAGAGTTCCTTTGTTAGGACATTTTAGTCACAGAGGCACAGGTAAGCGCCAGAGGACTTGGTAATGACTTCCTTTTTCCTGCTAGTACAGCAGATTGCATCTTTGGTTTATAGTGATTCCTTAAGCTTTTGCTGGTCAAGCTGTTAGTCTAAAACAAAGTTCTCACAATGTTCTTCTCTGTCTTTGTATATCCTAGAGTTGTTTACAGCGCTCCTTCAGAGCTGAAGTCTTCACCTGCCCTGCCTGCCGCTATGACCTGGGAAAGGGCTACACCATGGTCCCCAACAAGATACTGCAGACACTACTGGACCAGTTCTTCCCTGGTTACAGTAAAGGACGATGATGTGTTCGGATCCTTCCGTACTTCTCCCAGTGACTTTATAGACAGTAAAGGAGAATAAACATGGGAAATTCAACAGTGGACCAGCCAGCTTGATGGGACTCAATATATTGTCACATTTTGAAGCAGCTAACCCTCTTCCCCTCATAGCCATCTTTTTGGTGTAGTGAGAACTCTAATTCTCAGCTGTCTTTTAACATCAAGGGTAGTTTTGGCCAGTTAACAAATAGTTTTTAAAGAAAAAGAAAAAAAAAAAAAAGCCTCAGCTCTTACTGGCCTAGCTGATGCTTAATTTATGATTTGTTTTTTTGTAACTACCTCAGGACAGAGGAAATAAATTGTGGGGATGACAAAAAGTTAGTGAAGTTTTAGCTACACACTGCCTCCTTGAATATTAGTTGTGCCTGGTCCATGTGGTTTGATTTACAAAAAAAAAAAAAAAAACCCAAACCAAAACAAAAACCCACAAAAAACAGCAAAAAACCAGAAACAGCACTTAAGCCAGCTGGATTAAAGAACAGCAAATTCTGTGGTGTGCATAATCCTTTTTTGTCTTTTTCTTCCATTATGCTGTATTTTTTTGCAAGAACAGGCTGATTTTTAGTCTATTTTTGTGAGCTTCATTGTGCTTTTCTTGTATCTTATGCAAGTTGACTACTAATGACTAATGAGAACAATATGAATGCATTGTTGCTGCATTAGTGTAAAGTGATCTGTGTTTTTTGCACTTAAGGAGGGTATTCAAGACACTCTAGTTGTGTAAAAAATATTTCATATAAAAAAGCCACTTCTGTATTAGTTAAACTGTATGCTTTTAGTAGGTCTTGTATCAGTGGCAATACATCTACACAGCATTGAAGGCAGTGATAGCTTGGAGAGGGTTCAAATCGCTTCATATTGTGATCTGAAATTTTATATACAATATATCCCCCCCAAAATATACCTTATTAAATATTTTATCATTCAGAAAAGTTGCTAATTTTGTTTTTACTATTATTGACCTACTTAAATAATAATATTTTTATATAAATTTTTTTTTCAGGTTACTAAATGCTTTCTTTAGGTGGGCTTCTTATTTTTCAGACACGAGGCTTTATATTCCTTAACTGATTTCTGAATGAAAAAAGCATTGTTAATTAAGAAAAAATCCCCAACCTGACACTGATGTTCATGGGCTCACACGTACTCTATAGCAGTGGTTGTCATGGGGCTACTGTGGTCTACTTCTTTGAAGGAAGCTTGTGCACGCTCAACCCATGTAGCAGAGTTGGTGTTGGCAGTGCTGGGAGTTGTGGGTGCCCTGCACAGCAATCGGTCAGAGATTCCCATCTTAGGCACGGGGCTGCACTGACAGCCTGTAGCTGGCAAAGCAGGCGTATATCACCAGAAGGGTTGTCAGGCTCTGGAATGGGCTGCCCAGGGAAGTGGTTGAGTCCTCATCCCTGGAGGTATTTAAAAGCCAGGTAGATGAGGTGCTTAGGGACAGGGTTTAGTGGTGGGATGGCAGGGTTAGGTTAAGTTTGGACTTAATGATCTTAAAGGTCTTTTCCAACCTAAACGATTCTATGATTTTGTGATTCTATGATACAGAAGTATACATGTAAGTACATACATCATCCTCAGTAATTTAAGATCTTGCCCTTACCCTGGTGTGGTAATGAACCAGTGATCACTGAGATGCACATGGCAGTGCTGGTTTTTGGGACTGAAAGTTAGCTTAATGGCTTATTCACTTCATCTGAAATACGTAACTTCTCTCTCTCCTCCGCCCCACCATTCTGCTTAAGATTTCAGTTGCATCCAGAGTACGTAATGCTAGGACTATCTCTCTAGTCATACCTGGACAGTTTTGAAAGATGTAACTCCTCAGCTTTTTCTGTGCTTACTAGAGCAAGGGTTCAGCCGTTGTTCAGTAGGCGGAGTGGTATTAGTGTTAAGCATACAGTTTAAGAGACCGGTAGACAGATTCTTATATCCTGTTGAACTTCTGTGTTCTACAAAATGGTGGATCAGTATTTTATGGGGATGTGATTTTACCTGTGTAACAATCATTGCATCTCTGCAGCAAGCACGTAAGACTTGTGGCTTTTTACTTGGTAGTTGAGTGCTGTGGAATATTTTATATCTTTCAATGCTTTTTTCCATTTGATAGCTTTTACCAATCGATGAGATAAATTTGTCAGTTTGAAATCAACAATGGGAAGTTCTCTACTTAATACAAGAATACGTAAACCAATTTTTTACTATCTCTTTTCAGTGACAGACACAATCAAGCAACATGAAACTGCCTTTAACAAACATTAAAGTAGCTTGACAAGACTTTGTGGAGTTAGACTGGCAATGCAGAAGGACTGTCCTTTCCTCACTTTTCAAGTTTGCAGTGTATTTTTACAGTTTTTTACAACCTAGTGCTGTATCAGTAGCTACTGAAAGATGCCCTTTTTAATAGTAAGTTCTAGAGTAAAAAATTCTGATTTTCTTCACTATGTATTTAGATGTTTTAGGACCTAAGTGCAGCTTTTCACATCAAAACTGATAATCCTAAGGCCTAACCTTCCTTTAATGCAGTCTATTCCTGTCTCTGGTCATGTGCAGTCTCTTTGCATAATTAAAGTCCTCACTGAAGTCTAAAGGTAGGTAATGAAAAAGTTGCAGTCCCAAAACTTTCACTATAAAGGACACAAAAGTACAGTACTTAAAATAGTGCTGTGAACACTACCCTCATTTTTGCCACTTCAGAGAAAGCTCCTCGCAGACCTTCAAGAAGAGGTCAAGCAGTTGCTGGTTGTAAGGTGCAAAACTCGGCGGTCCGTTCCCCAGTCTGGGTGTTACCCCAGTACCTGCTTCCTCATTCACCAAAATCCTGCTTCATGTGGCTGACAGAGTTTGTCTCTACAGGGGTGTTTGCTTGCATCAAACGCAGATGACCCTGCACAGACCTGCAGTCAGGTTCCTTGCAGATGCACTCATAACACCTATGGTCTGCCTGCATAACAGAGAGGATTGGTTTTATGTAAATTTGGCTGGGAACAGATTGGAGGAGGCTCCTCTTTAAGGTCTGCCTTCGGCTACTGAGTAATTGAATGGGGCACTGTGTGTCGCAGTAGGGCTCTGGTCTCAGGCTGCTGGAGGGACGGCCTGGAGGCCCAGAACTAAAGCTGTGAATTGGTTTTTACGCAAGCCGTGGACTTACATGACAAAGCAAGGCAAGTTAGGTGCACTGTATAAACTGAAGCCAGTAATCAAAATAAGAGATCTGAGAAACCCTGGAAGGAGAATACTTTGTTAGATGAGATCGAACTCATGCTAAGCAGTGCACAGTCTGGCAGAAAATTTATTTCATGCCTTCTCTGGAGTAAGAGGGGAGGATTAGATGGAACTACAAGGAAAAATCACTGCGATACAGAAAAAAGTTGAGTTTGTTACTGCTCAGTAAAACTGATCATTCTAGCTCTAGCTCTTAAAAAAATCAGACACTTACTTCAATATTGATCTCTGCCAGTATTTTGCTTTGTGTAGAAGCTGTTACTGCTGTGGCAATTCTGACAAATCAGAACTTAAGCTTCATAATTTCATACTGCTCTATTGGATAAATGCAGCTGAAAAGTTAAAATCCAGAACATGACAACACTTAAAATTCTGACCAGTTTTATTAGAGTACTCACATTGGTAGGTTAAAAAAACAGTATGAAATACTAACACTAGCAGTGCTAGTGGTAATACGTGAAGTAAATTAAACAATCTACTTCATCTTTTTTTACAAAATATAAAGAATTACTGCTGCAGTTAATATTCATTACTATTGCCTTACGCGTCTGCATCGTTTCTACTTTTTTGAACCATATCTTCCATTCCACTTTGCAAATTGGGTGTTAATTGTTAAAACTTTAGCAAAAAATGGACAAAATGCTGAATCAAGGCAATTTCAACATCTGCTGCTGTGGGACAATCACATTTTGCTTACACCTAGCGTATTGATTATATTTACATTTTAACTAAGCAGTGATTCAATTAACAAACGTGGTGATTATCCAAAATATACACAGTATATATATCCCCTGTCAGGTCTGGGAGGAAGAGGCCCTCCTGATGGACTGCAGAATCCAGGCAGCTGGAAACAGTCTTATGAAGATGCTCTCTTCTGTTCAGAAAAGGGAGATTCGTAGGCTTCCATTGGTGGGCAGGTACAAACCAGATGTTGATCTCCATATATGTCATCAATGCGAGCAATTGTGGGCCAGAATTTGCTTTCAGGCTTTACAAATGGCTAAGTACGGAAGAAAAAACCAACTATTTTAATTTTTCTACCAAGCAAATCTACGGAAACATAATAGACATTAGAAGCTTTAAGAATGGCAAATGCTGAAAAAGTGGATCTTTTTGAGTGAAGTCATACTTCAAATCTGTTTGCAGTCCTTGGAAGTTAACAAGCATGTATAATAGAGTTGGCAGTCAAAAGGATATTTAGGTTTTCAAAAAAGTGTAACCATGTCCTCTAACACATGCTTGCAAAGAAGCAGTTGTCATGGGATAAAAGAGTGACCCTCTGAATAACTGGCTGACAGATAGGAATTTCAAGACCAGGTTGGACGGGGCTCTGAGCAACCTGATCTAGTTAGCGGTGTCCCTGCTCACTGCAGGGGGGTTGGACTAGATGACCTCTAGGGGTCCCTTCCAACCCAAAACATTCTATGATTCTATGAAAAGTGGAGGAGACTTCCAAGACCTGTGCTGTTCAATATAGTTAATATGATATATAAAACAAGGTGGCAGACTTCACAGGTGCAGTTAAATTCTTCATCTTAGAAACAGTACGTAGCAATAAAATAGATGCAATTCAGTTTTAGGTGAGAAAAGTTAGTTACACATATACTTAGCTGTTAAGATTGTGGAAGCAATTTTATGTAGTGCTCTGAAGAAGGCTGATGTATCCAGCTCCAATCTGACTTTTATTTTTAACAGGCTCACATTGGTGTGGCTTGGTGCATGCTGACCATGCGTCTTGTCAAACCCACATCCAAGTTCTTTGGAGCAGAGCTTTGAATGTCAGGACGTGGGACTCTGTTTTGGGAGCCCCTGGTGCAGTTTGTCAGAACGGAATGAGCTGTTTCCCATAGGAATATCCAACACTGAAGTGCTGAGATTTTAGAAATCCAGGTTTGCACTTCATGTGACTTTTTTTTTTAAGATCTTTTTTCCTTGTCTTGAAAAACAAAACTAACAGAACTACTATAGATCCCCCACACATAAAATTGAGCAACAGTAAAAATGGCTCTGAAGTTTTTATTCTTACCAGGTTACGTCATCTCCAACTGACCAGAAAACCACAGAGCAAGAAAACACATTTATGTATTACCACACCACTAGGATCCCGTTATTTACTCACCAGTGGGAATGCTGCCACTTCCCTGGAATAAGGACGATCCCACTTGGAAGAAGTGACACAGTTCAGAGTATGTGGTGACATCTACAAGCAAAAAGACATGTTTAGGGCATGAAATTACAGAATTCAGTTGAAGATATCAGTGTGAACCCTCCTTCAAGTCCACATTACTACGTGTAAATAATTACTGTCTAGAGAGTCTCTTGAGAATACCATTTATCTGGAGAAAAAAAAGGCAGATTTAAAGCAGGAAGCAAGTCAGTATCTGGATTTTTTTCAGTTTGCCTGAAGATACTACCGAAGGCTCGAATTTGCTTCCAGCTTTTCACTAAATATCCTCAATATTTAAACAGTCAGCACAGTTGAACATAGTTGAACAGAACTTGAGCCTACAGCAATTTTGTGCTGCAGTTGCTAAAATAATGAACTCAGTCTTCATTTTAGTTTTAAGGTCATTCCGCTCCCCTTCATAAACCAGATAAATAAGCATCTCTTCTTCATTACTTCGAGATGGCCTCAGAAAGTATAGATCATGTGCTTGCATAAATAACTTTCTCTGCTCTGTCAGCAAAAGCCAGACTTCGGACTTGAAAAAGTCAAAATTCAGATTTAGAAAAAGTTTAAGGTTTCTAAAAAAGTCAGTTTTCACGAATTTCACGTTTACTGCTGCACACGGCTATTTTCAAGAGTACTGAAAGACCAGGAAGCGGGCTCACATGGTCTCAAGTAAGTCTCAGGGGTTAAGCTGATGCTGGTAACTTGCTTGACATGCCATCTTACCTTTAGTGGGTTAATTTGGGGGTCCATCCTGCCCTCCTCTATTTCAGCAATTTCCTGCCGAATACTGATCATTGCATCACAAAACCTGTCCAGTTCTGCCTTGTCCTCAGACTCTGTTGGTTCAATCATAAGCGTCCCTGCAACTGGCCAGGACATGGTTGGAGCATGAAAACCTGATAAAGAAAGAAATCAGTCACTGACAATAGGTTACGAGTTAATATATGCACTAACTAAAAACTGATCCACAGATTCAGCCCTGTCTATAGTCTTTACAGGACTGAACTCGTTAGTGTTGGCAGTGTACTATAGAGGCAAGACAGACTTTTCAAGCGTTTTAGTTTTTAACATTGAAGGGTAATGCCATTGTATTACTTACAATAGTGTTACATGCTGACTTAATGATACGCTCTTAAAACCTGCTCTTTCTGCTTTGTTACTCTTCAGAAGTATATTGCTTCCTTTCCTGGATTATTTCTGTTCCTGCTGCTCATTTCAGTTAGATGTGTTTTGTCACTTTACCTTCTTATGGCAGGCTGATGGCAAAGTGAGATTGGTGCAGATTTCTGCACTGGTAAACAAGGTAAAAAGAAAAGGTGGTCTCTCATGATTCCCTTCCTTCACTACTGCTAATTACAGCCTCGTGACACTTCTCTTTCAGCTGCAGAGGATGGAATTTTACTAAACTTAGCCATGTAACTCGGCCCCATACCTACTGAAAAGCCTTTTTAAAGCAGTGCATGCTATTTAAGGCCATAGCAGCCCACTTACAAAGAACAGAAAGTGTGGGGTTTTTGATACCACAGCTGCTCTTTCAATGACTTCACTGACGAGGTATTACTCACTAGGGTTTTAACAGCTTTTATGCATATTCATTAGAAGCACAGTTGCATAGGATGAAGCAGTTCAATGGGTCATCTTGCCTGGCAGCCAACGAGTAGCCACGATCAGATTCTTCAGAGCATGTGTACAAAATGGCCTGAAGTGTATCAGGATGGAAGTGTTTAAATCATATTTTCCTACTTCAAAAGTATTGCTCTCTTTTTCTTTTTTTTTTTTTTGGACTCTTACTAAGCTCTTGGCTCCAACCCACTTGCTCCAATGGTTAAGAGTCATGTAATCACAAATTTGAAGGGGTGGTTTATAAAACTGGGGAGGCAGCAGCAGGCTGGTAAGAAGCTACTACAACTCAGCTGATGCAAGTATCTAAGCCCTTAATGAACATGAGGAGACCTGAAATGATCGTGACAGATTCACCATCCATAAGCACAGGACTAGAATGTTTCTGACTCCCTTTAGAAGAGATTTAGGAAATTCTCACTTATGCCTCTATTTTTAAAAAAATACATTTGTCTTACCATAATCCTGAAGTCTCTTAGCAAGATCTACAGCTTCAATGTTTGCTGTTTTTTTGAAAGGTCTTGTATCCAAAATGAATTCATGGGCTACATAACCTGTGAACGAAAAAGTGTACACTGTTTACTTACTCAAGAATAATGCAATCTACCAAGCAGTCTATTCTGATTGGTTTTGTGGAGAACACGGCAAAACCACAAAAATTATTCACTTGGGGCAAAAACTCAAACCCGAGATATCAGCTAGGAGATACACAACTCAGTATTTGAAGACTGACCCTCTGAGTCCCACATCACATTAAGGAGAGGCCTCATTTCCAAGATCAGAACTAGGAATGGGAGGTCAAAGTAGCTCCTATAATTTACAACTACTCTGAAAAATACTTGGATTTGACAGTGGCCCAACACCATTTGGGTCTTAGGCTATCTTGAATTAGCCATGTACAAGATAATCAATTTCATGTTACACCAGAGAAAAGCTCAAATCTGGTGTTACAGAGGCTAAAGACATAAGCCAGCTAAATTTATATCCATGATTCTGGAGAACCTTGTTCCACTTCATTGCTGAATCTTTCAAAATTTGCAACTTCAACTCCATTCTGTAAGGAAGTAATATATTCTCTTAAAATGCAACTTGCAGGTTTAACCAAGGTGTACTCCATTAAATTTAAGAGGTATATTTTGAAGAGCATACATATTGTACTCAACTGTTTTTTGGTGCCATTCAGCTTAAACAAGCAAAATAGGATTCTCTGATAGTTACTCTGCTATAACAGATAATTCTTTCACCTCTTATTCATTATTTCTGTCCTGCTGCAAGACTGAAGAGCCATAGCAGGGAACTAGAATGTAGCTAAAGCATTTTGTATTGCCAAGGGGACTCTCCCCCATCTCACAAAGGAGAATAAAGAACAGAAATGAGACGAATTTTTGGTTTGGTGGTTTGTTTGTTTGGTTTTTTTTCAGGGAAAGTGTGCACAGCAAAGTATAGGTCCAAAAATTGCTTCCAGTTCTTAATCTGTTGTGCCATTGGTTATGGGAGATTTGGAGGTCTCAGCTTTGTTGCTTCTCCTTTTTCTCCTGTTCATTAATCTGCTACTAGACTCCAAGGAGAACAATCTGATGCGAAGCCTTACTCCATATTTTGTCATCATTTAATCTAAAATTCAAACAGGCATTTTTTCTCCTACTTCCAAATATCTCAGTTTCTTTGCAATACTTCCACAGAAGCAGCATGCCAGGTTATTTCTCTCCTTGTGAACAAATATCAAGAGAAGTTTGAGATGCAGCTGTCATGTAGCATTAAAAAAGAACCATACTGCAAGGCAACGTCTACACTAGGGAAAAAAAAGTCAGCTTCATAGAAGAAAACATTGTCCAATACTTGCCTCTTGCTCCTCTGAAAAGGATTTTGTAGTGCTTCTCTAGCCGCTTTGCCATGTAGTTAGCATTCAGTATAGCAATCTCAGAAGCATGTTTCAGACCCTTTGCTCCCATTGTCTGAAAGAGGAATAACATGAAGAAACAGATCTAAAACCACTCCCGAGTAAGGTAAGTGTGCTCTTGTGCTGGCAAGCACGACAGACAACAGTGCCTTAATGCGTCTGGCTAGTTTTAAGACAGTCACACTGCTATTACACTTTGCCACATGCTACACTCGCAGAAAAGCACTGGGTGTTGCTTGAGAGCAACTCTGGCATGCACAGCTTATGAGACTGCTTACCGTATTACAGGTTTTGCTTAAAGTCCACAAGTGAACAAGCCAAACCTTTCCTCAAACTGAGAAGCTCTGAAGCGAACAGAACAAAGTGAGCAGAACTCAAGCATTTATCAGCACGCTTGTAAGAAAGAACTGCACACTCTGCCTGTCACCATCCTTACCCGCAGGGAAAGAACATCCAGACAGCTGCCCAAAAAGCTATGTGTGCTGTCTGTACAGATTAACCCAGCAACTCAAGCTCTGCTCGCTGCTGTCATGTCACAGATGATACTGTGCATTAACAAAGACTGGAACCAAATGAACACAGGTACTTATTTCTCTGTTAAAGCACTGCAAAAGGACAGTGCTGGAACTGAGCTCTGACTGCATTTCTTAACACTTAAGCTGGCAAAGGAGAAAGCCGAAACAGCCATCAAGGTAGCCCCTTTAGATGGGACAGCATAAACAGATGGCATTTTGCATTGTGAAGGAACAGCTTCACTTAAAAATTTACTACAGTTTAAATACTCTGTGATTGATAGGAACCAGCTTACAGTCACAAGCAATTTTTACCCACAGCTGAAAAGCCACCATGGAAGTTGTACCACCTCATATTTGCTCATTTCAAATTCCAGAAGAGCTGGTTTCCCCAGGAGTGGAAGTTTCCATGGTTAGGGTATCAAACTGGCTACAGGGTGCTCTGAATGACACTGCCCTTAAGTTCACCATTCCAAGCCTGCCTCACTGACAGCTTTCAATGTTGCTTAAGAGTCCCAACACACCCTCTTCTCAAATAGAATTTGACTCTACACTCATGTCTGTCGGCTGACTACCTCCATATATGTAACCAAACATTTTCAGGCTTATCGCTAAATTGCAAGGCATTAAAAAAATTGCATAGAACATGATCAAGTTGTTGCACATCCAAAGCCAAAACTAAGTTCAGTTTTCAAATTCTGTAAAATCCACTGGAATTCAGGTTCTTATTAAAACAGATTTTGGAAAGTTAAACATTACATACAGGTCAAGTATAACAATACCGCAGCATACAACCAAAAATATTCTTGGAAGAACAGTAATTACCAAGCAGCTTTTAAACATGGAAAGTTTAACGTCCAAGCCAGTGGAGGGGCAAGCCTGATTGCAGCTTTCTGCCTTGTGTCCACTTGTCTCAAGAATTATTACAGACAAGAGACAGAAGAATAAGCAGGCTGCATAGATGCAACAGTTGTCCTGCCCTCCTATTGCAGCAGATGGCAATGGCTGTTTGTGGCGGTTTGCTCCCCCTCCTTTGACCTCTTTCAAGTGATAACTACCTGTGGCTGTGGTGATAGATGCATCTGATAGATGTGTCTGGTCGTGAAGGATGCACCCACTGGATGTGTGGGGGGACAGATAACAATACAATACCCAAGGGCTATTGTGGAATGTGCCCACCTAAGCACAGTGGTCAGTATGCAAATATGACTATGAGCCAATTATCTTACCCCCATAAATAGTGAGCAGCCCAAGAGCCCTTTGAGCTCTCCTGCACGGCAGCGGGCTGCACGCCAGGATCTCCCCTTGAGCAGGGACGCCTCTCAAGGTTACTGCTCGAGGTTGAGAGATTCCTTACCACAACAGATTCTCGGTAAGTGACTAACAGCACGCTAACTTGGAAATCTTAGCTAAGTGACATAAAGGATTAACTGCGCATGTATAATCCTTTAGGCATAAACCGTTGACCAAGTCTGGGACTAGGATTGGATCCAGCCGCACCTAGACTCCTCTCTGAGGGAGTTTAGAAAGCAAGGGGATCTTTTCTGAACCTCATGACTCAACGGGAGGGTCTCCCTGACAGTCTTGTCTGACCCTGTCCTCTGTGCAGTAAATAACAAAGTGTACCTTGCCATCGAATCTCAAACTATTGTCGCAGTTACCACTGAACTTTGTTAACTCACTGTTTTACACCAATAAACCACATTATTTTTGCCTCCCTCTCACTCCATCCGTGACACTGTTCTATTGTCCTACTGGAAAACGAGGAGGTTCCAAGGATGTACATAACCTATGACCATGCTGTAGTCATATGCACTTCAGTCTGTGCAAACATCTTATGACGAGTTGCTCTGAAACCTCTTATGTGGTTCCAGTGGTCTCCAGGCTTGCTGAAACAGAAACATATCCTCAGCTGATACTCCTTACAAAAGTTTACACACCTTGATATACACCCAGGAAATTGGCAATATAGCACTGGAACCCCAAGGTGCAGCACTGACAGTACCCAAAGGACATGCATCCTTGTCCGGCTGTATTTTGATGACAGGGTGGGTAGGCAAGTAGGGAGCCAAATGTTTCTTCCTAAAACAAAAACACCGATTTTAGAACATAAATGTGTGTTCCCGTGTTACCGTTGCTGGACAGTTTCAGCAGTAGCTTCTCTTCACCTTCCTTACAAACACATCCTCCAGGAAGACTGGTCTATATCTTCTTCAACAGAAAGATTATTAACAAAACTGATGACAATGGAGGATGGCACTCAGTTTTCAACTTATCACAAGATATTCATGCAGCTATCCAAACAGTTTCTTTTTTTTTTTTTTAAGAGTAAGATTATTTTCTTTTAAAGGAATATGATTGCTGTATAGGATTAGATGCACGTAGTTCATGTACCACTTCTGCGTTCTGGACTATGTACAGTATCAGCCCTCAAAGTCCACAGATTATCTCTGCATTTACTCAGAGAACAGACTGTTGCATGGAGTCTACCATACACACTAAAGGGCCAACATGAAAGTTGGGGTTTGGGAATACACGTGAACCTCACCATTGATGAGATCAGCACCTGACTATCCTGGAGAAGGACAAAAGTCTACAAACAACAGCACACCTCTCCCATTCATGGCTCTGTACTTGTGAACTGCCAACCAAGAATCACTATGGGATTTTTTAATTATTTTTTTTTAGAGAAAAGGCTAATAAAGAGATACCCACACTCCAATTGGCCCCATTCCAGGCCCTCCTCCTCCATGGGGAATGCAAAAGGTTTTGTGAAGGTTTAAGTGAGAGACATCAGAGCCGTAATCTCCAGGACGACACAGACCCACCTGCGAAGGGAATAGTATTCTTCAGATGCCATTTTAAGACCTATTACTTCATTCAACAAAAATAGGTTGAACAAAATGTTATATATTTTCCTAGTTTTCTTTAATGCATCATAAACAAGAATCAATGCAAACAATTCTTTTGCTTTAGGAATTCTTATTCATGTCTGTAAGAATGTCTTTGACAACTATTAGGCAGACTAAGCCAGTTTTAGTGAAAAACTCATATATAGTACAACATACTTCAGGGCAAAATCAGATGAAAGAGAATAATTTTCACCATCTAATTTTTATTACTGTTCTTGGAAACCTCACCTCCTCCCCCAAACACTGTGCCATCTTGTGAGGAAGCTGTGCTATGATCTGGACTGAGTACTGCTGTGATATTTTTATTCCAAGGAAACATACGCTCCCAGTTGTAATAAATCTGCCTAGGAGATTTTGTACCTGGGCATTCATATTTGCTCCATCTAAGTAAACCTGGCCTCCATGTTTGTGAATCAGGTCACACACATCTCCAATCTCCTCTTCAAACACACCATTGGTGGACGGGTATGTGATCATGATGGCTGCCAAGTTCTCTTTGTGCTTGTCCACCTGGTGGCAGGGAAGGGGAGAGAAAAAAGGGTCACTGAGGCTCCTAAAGCTTCTTAAAAGAAGATTTTTACAGAAACATGTAATTAAGGTCATCAGGTGTTTTACATGTGAGAAGCAAGTCTATCAGCAAGGTAAGTCTAAGTCATTTACAGTCAGCAAAAGATACCGGGCTCTTTTCTTTGGCAATACCTATGGAAAAAGAGTGTTTTCTCAATAAATCAGAACTTCAAATCAGGGAAGAAAGCACGGTATTAAAAGATGTATGTGTAATAGTCACTTCTGGGACCTTAAGACAAGCCAAGTGAAACATCTGGCCTTCGAGGTAATGTGATCTAATGACCATCCCCCTATACTTTAAGCAATACAGTTCTATGACTACCATAAAACTTGCTCAAATATGTGTTTTTGGAAATGTGTCTTGCTAATCCCTTGGATTCCCAAGATTCACCTGCAGGCAATCTACTCAAAAAAGTGAAAAAGTTGCCTAGCAACACCTTCCCCAGCAGAGGTGGGCTTGAACTTCGCCAAGCAAAGGCTAACGTGCAGTTTCAGGTGCTTCACACTCATGAACGTGCTGCATTCATTTCAAGTACTAGATGTAGACCAAAAAGGCCTGCTATAAAAAAGCCTACGGTGTAGAAAGATTCTCTGAGCCCCTCCTACACCAAAGGTCCTGAAATTAAAAGAAATCTCACAAGTGTCACATGGCTAGCATCTGAGTGAGCAAAAAAGGAAAGAATTACTTATCCTTTTCAAGCAGGTATTCACTATTACTGCCCCATTTTCTCTTAAAGAAAAATCTGATTCAGCTGCCAACACGATTACCTGTAGAGGAGAAGGAGTGTTCCTGCCTTGAAAATTAAAGATAAATACTCACCATTGCTTTTAAATGGGATATATCAATGCTCCCATTTTTATCCACTTCAATTGGCTGAATCTTCATCCCTGCCATTTGTGCACTTGCTGGATTTGTACCATGAGCAGATTTAGGAATAAGGCAAACCTTAGAAGGGAAAAAGAAGCAGGGGCTAAAGTACTGTTAGTTAAAGTCTTACAGCACTATGGTCTACGCTCAGCTACAACTCATTATCAAAGTTTTCAAAAGGGATCCCAAGGGAATGTTTACCGGCAAATTGCCACTTGTACTGAAGGATGCAACTCAATTTTCTTTGAAGAAAATCCATTCAAATATCAGCATCTAACTACCCCTTAGGACAATAAAGTTTAATCTGCTGCATAAATCATATTTAGGGTTGCAGTTCCACAATATTATCTCAGATATACAATTTAAAATCCTTTTCTCTCCCCTCTCCCTTTTTTTAAAAGACTAATTTTTTTTACAGTAATCAGTCTCCATATGTGCAATGACTTGAAAGGAAAAACTATCTAATTCCAACTTTCCACTACGTCTTCAGCTGACTTCGACAGCATTTTCTTCTGTATTCTACTCAAAACAAAAATTGACTGAAATATTTTGGCTATAGCTAAGAAATTTCAGACAGCTACTTACATGTTCTATACACTTCATTTAAAAGGAAAAAAGAGAAGCACTTTCACTTAGATAAATATAGGTTCTTGTTAGTGATAGTTAGGGAAATGGAGCTCAGGATATTTCCAGACATTTGCTAGGAACTCCAACCTTTCTAAAAACAGTAAATATACCTTCTCTAAAAAAAAATCCTTTGCTTCTATTCAGTAAGGATATTGAAACATTTGTCTATTATGATTCTCTTGGAAGGATTAATTTAATTAAGTTTATCAAGTAAGTTAAACTTAGCTGCATTAAATAACCGACAGTAGGGTACTTTTTCACGAGAAACTGCACGATGGTCTCTACCTCATGTTCCCTAGAGATGCTGAGACAAATGTTAAAAGCTGTTCCAAGGAACTGGCACATCCATCTCAGCACCTGGACATTTGCTCCTCTTGCAATGAACTGTCAATATTTTTCCTGCGTGGCTCTGCTGAAAGGAACCCCAAGGATCCCAGTCCCAGTGCTGGGAAGCTCTGTGGCACGTCTGTAGTCATTTTAGCTGCATAGCAGAAATGTACAGTGAGTCTAGATTGCCACCCAGTCTTGCTGGGTTGCACCTGCAGCTGCTGGGTACAGAAGTTATTGATCAGGCAACAAAGTGGACGGATGCAAGCTGTCAGTTAATGTTGATGCTTTTTTAACACGAGAGGGCAGCAAATCCAAATGAGGCCAACTGCAAGAAGCATGATTTGCTTGCTGGTTTACTTACTTTCTCCAGCCCAGGAGAAAAGGTCACTTCAGTTGCAAGGTCAACATTTTGTGGACTTTCTTCTTCTCCCCCCCCCCCCCCCCCCCTTCTCTTTTCTCTTTTCTTTTTTTTTCCCCCAAGATTATCTTGATTTTAGTACAACATTTGAAATATTAAGTGTGAGTAACTGCCAGCAGCCCATGGGCTCTCTCTTCTGTGCAGTTAACCTCTGGCTATTTCTGAGCATAGAAGGGCCATAGACACTCACAGAAGCCCAAGGATCTTACACAAAGCAAGAGAAACAGCAAAGTATAAATGAATAATCAGAAGACAACTGTACAAGGAATAAAATTTCAACCTAATTTCACTTCCCACTGAGTGTTTTCCTACTCGCAAAACAAAGCTTGGATTTGTAAAGAGCGGCTGATCTCCAAGAAGTTTGAGGTCATCTGGATGCAACAAAGAAACAAAGAACAAGACAATACTCACTACTGATTTTTAGGAAGTTTCCTCATGCAGAGGTTATAGTTTCCAGGAGGTCGGGACAACGACCCTTCTGTTTTGAAAAGGCAAATGAGTTCCAAAGCCAAGTGTAAAACCAGGTTCAGAAAATATGGATATTATTGCACTAAGGACTTTTTTCCTACCGTTTAAAGCCAACTCCGTGAGTGTGTGAAAGAGGAAGATCTAACTAATCTCAGACTTCCAAGAAGTTTTTGACGTGGTCCCAAAAAATATTCCTATACTAGTAAGAACCCACAGTACTGAGTAATAGCATTCAAAACAGAATATACTGGAGCCAGACAGATCTAGAATATTATGCAAGATAACAAATCTTAACAACACACAACAATCCCAGGATCATAGTTTTGAACTTACCGCCACTCAAAACATCTTGCAGTGCATTAAAAACTAGAAAGGAAATAGAGAACAAAGAAAAAGGAGCACAGAAGTTCTGAGGATATCCTAAGGTATGAGCTGGCCTTTTTGAGAAGGATGGACAAATAACTGGAATCCAACTAGGAAGACAGAAATTAGGATGGGTAAGGATATAATAAAAATATCAGAATTAACACATGATATGCCAACTGTGATGAGGGAAGAAGTCTTTCAAGAGTGAGAGGGTAATAAATGAAAATTGTAAGATGCCAAGTTAAAAAAAAAAATAAAAGGAAGTGTTTCTTATAAAGAAATATGATTATATTGATAATGGGTGACAATTATATAATAATGGGTGATGAAGCCACAGAACATTTTCTCCAAGGTACTGTAAATATCAGAAGCTTTCTCAGAAGAGGTCAAGTGATCAGATTGAATTGTAAAAAAATGCATAAGCAGTGCCCTTGGATTCCTTTGGATCAGTAAGTTCCCAAACCACAGATATGTAGAAGGTGGGGCCATGGGCTGGGTAAGTATCATTTTTTACGCTTGATTTGTCCTTGTACTCCTTGTTGTAAGAGGAGTCTATCAGTCTGCTATTGACCACTGTAAGACTGGATGCTACGACTGACAGACTTTTGGTCTGGGCTAATCCAGCTGTTCTTATATCACAAACATGCAATCACCTCTCCAAAATGAAACTTGCTACCACTAACTTCTCACATTTACATATTTCAACCTCTTTCACTTCCAGTTAAACTTACACCTAAATCCCTATAATTAACACAGCCTTTCTTCCAGGCATCACAGATTGTTCAGAAAGCACCTAAAGGAACAAGATTACTTTCAGAATTTTCAGCTATAACTGCCTGCCATTAAATGCCAATAAAGAATTCTCTTTAATAGAAAATTAGAATTAAAAATTCTATTAAACGTAGTGTACTAGTAGGGATGATTCCTCTTTGGGGTTAGCTACAATTTTATCACCTCTCAGGTTTATAAGAACACTCTTTTGTCAGGTTACAATTGTACAGCTGAGAAGTTACTCCCTGAAGTCAAAGTTTCAGGTAGTACAGAAGAGAAAACAAATCAAGCCTTTATAAACTCCATCCAGTGTTACCAACTGAAAATGATCCTCAGTGAATCAAAACTGATTTGCATTATTCATCTACAGTTTTTGTGGCCCTTGTGAAGCAAAGTTACTTCCACATACCCTACAGAAGTTAATTTGAAACAGTTTGAATGCACAAGAACTGGATGAACCTAGAGACTTCTGTGGGTAGCTACCAAGGCATACCAGAGGCTTGTCTGCTTCTCCTGTCAGGATTGGCTATACTGGGAACCAACTTCCACTATAAGCAGTGTAAGTTTTAGGTAATCAGTTCTTGTTCCCTTTGTATCTGAAAAAAGCTGGAGAAGGAGTATCATACCACCTTGAAAAAGGAAAAAACTGTCATTACCAATTTTCTTCTGAGGCATGGACGTCTGGGCCTAGATCCATCTCAGTGAAGATCTGAATCACTGTTTCACATTAATGAGTAGCCCCTGTGATGGCTTCAATGGTTAGGTCCCTGCCTTGATCACAAGCCCATTTGTAGGTTTTAGGTCTTTCCCTAAATGTCCTGATGATTCATGGGCTCACCGAGTTATGAATAACTCATGCTTAAATTCCCAGTCCAGGTCTACCTGAGTCACTTCAATTCTGGCAGCCTGGTCTACCTGCTCATTGTTTCAGTGTTCTTCAGTGCTGCTGCCCTTGGGCTTGTGAGCATCTGTATGACACGTACCTTTACAGTAATGCTTTCTACCCGGGCAGCAATGTCTTGCCAGAAGGCAACCCTGTGCTGCCAGTTGGTCTGTTTCCAGTCATGCGGCCACCCTCACAGGGCATTTGCCACCATCCATGAGTCAGTATTGACATAGAGTACTGGCTGCTTTTCTCATTCAGCTACCTCTAGGGACAGCTTCTGCAAACGGGCTTGACTTGCCTTCTCCTTCAATGGCTTTCACAACTTGTGTAGGACTCTACACAGCAGCCTTCCACTTCTGATGGTTTCCTACAACACAACAGGATCCACTGGTAAACAGACCATACTGCTTTTCACCTTCTGGTAACTCATTTCTTGCACATGAGTCACCTCCTTGAGTGATGCTTGAGTGATCTGAAATTTATGCCTTCTGATGAGTCCATAATCTCTTCCAGGATTCCTGGGCAGCTGGGGTTCCCCATCCCAGCCTGTTGCATGACCAATGATACCCACTTACTCTAACACAGCATCCTTTGAACAGCCGGTACAGCACAGGCAATCATGGTGTGAAGAAGAGCTGTGCTTTTGTACCAACAACTTCTAAAGCAGATCAGCCCCCCTTGTACACTGCTAGTATCTTTTTTTCAGTCAGAGTGTAGTGGGCCTTGGATCCTCAACAGCCCCAGCTCCAAAACCCTAAAGTCTGACCTTGTATTTCTCCAGGTGTTTTCTGTCAGAGGCTCCAGCTGAGGCCATGCTCCCTGGCCTGCAGCATAAAGTACATTTTCTCACAGCAGGTCCCATCTGGATGGACTCCAGGGCTACTGCATGAACTATCTTCTCTTTGATCTGTTCAAAGGCCTATTGTTGCTCAGGGCTCCACTCAAAACTGTTCTTCTTTAGGGTCACTCAACAGAGATGGCTTACAAGCTGATTGTAACCTAGCATGCACATGCATTCTCCAGTAATCCACAATGCCTAGTCAAGCCTGTGTTCCTCTCTTGTTAGCTGGTGAGGACATAGTTTTTTTCTTATTGATTGCAGTCCCAAGGGTGTGACAATGTCCATCTTGCTGTTTTAGTCCCAAGAACTGTATTTCTTGTGCAGGTGCTTTGAACTTGCTTTGGTTTTACGGCAAAAGCACTTTTCTGAATGATCTCAATTATTCTTCTCGCCTTCTCAAATCCTTCCTCTGCTGTGTTGCCTCATACAAAGATGTCGTCGGCATATTGCAGGTGTTCAGGGGCTTCACCTTGTTCCAGTGCAGTCTCTTATCAGTCAAAGACTGACAGGTAGGTAGGGCTGGTATATCGGTCACCCCGCCACATGAAAGCAAACTGTGGCCTGCACTCTGCTGCCAAAGGGATCAAGAAAAATGCTTTGGCAATATCAATTGTGGCATACTCCTTGGCCACCATTGACTCTGGTTCATATTGGAGTTACAGCTTGTCCCACACGGCAGCACTCAATGGTGGCATTAATTTGCTTAGGTTGTGATAGTCCACTGCTAAACCTCCACCCTCTGTCAGTCTTTTGTACTGGCCTTCTAGGAATATTTAAGGGTTATTAAGTCTTGCTTATCACTCCTTGGCTCTCCAATAGATGAAGCAACTTACGGATGGTAACCAGGGAGTCTTGGCTGGTGCAATACTGCCACTGGTCATGGTAGTAACCACCACCTGTTGTTCTTTGTCATGCAGCAACCCTACAACGGAGAGGCCAGGCAAGGTAGAGAGTTGTTTAATCTTCTTTGTGTCCACTGTGGCCACAACAAAGGCCCACTGGTACCTTCTTGGGTCCTTGAAATACCCTCTGCTGAGGTAGTCTATGCCGAGGGTGCATGGAGACGCCAGGCCATCACGATAGAATGTTTCTGCCATTTGTCCCCTGTTAGGCTCACCTCAGCCTCCAACATAGACAACTGTTGGCATCCTTCTGTCACTCCACAAATCCAGATGGGTCCTGCCCCTCCTACCCTGATGGCATTACAGTACACTGTGTACCAGTATCCACCAAAGCATTATACCCACATGGATCCAATATGCCAGGCTATTGAGTCCATACAGTCCATTAAACTTTGTTATCCCCTTCCTCTGCTTAGCCAGAGGCAGAGAGCCTTTACTCCTGGTTGTAGTATTCACGCTCTGACTCACGTGGTGTCAGACCAGAAGTCCCTTCACCAAACTCAGGAGGAGAGGCATTTTCAACCGTTATACTGTGTCTGGGGGACTGCTGGTTGCTTTCCACTGTCTTAGAATCAACTGGAGCAGCAGCCTTCTTGGTTAGTCCCTTCTTAGTGGCTGTCTTCCCCTGCATTTCAAGTACATGGTCTTCTAGCTTCAAGGTGAGTGCACTGTCCGTCTTCCTCATGTCCTAGCCCAGCCACACAGGAAGAACTAGAGGCTGCCCAGATGCGTGCGCCTCGGCCAACTCAGAATGAGAAGTGGAGGGATTCTCTTTGAAACACCCTGGAACCAGCAAGACAATCTCTCCACAGTTGGTATCTCAAAATGTGGCCAGTCCATCATCACCAATGAGTTGTTGTATGACACATGCATTTTCCACAAACCTGCTCTGCATAGCCCATGTGTACTGGATGTCATGAAGATCTGTGGAGACCTATTTGTTGCCCAGGTCACCATAGACCCCCTCCACCACTGCTAATTCTCTTAGATACTGAACACCTTTCTCAGAAGGGGTTCAACTGCCTCAGTAATTGACAAGATCACCCTTGAAAGGACACCTCACACTCAACAGGAACCACCTCCAGAGGCTGCAGATTGTCAACTTCTGATTTCTTTGTTGATTCCCTGGTCCCTACCAAGGGATCCCAGCTGCTGCGCTTCCTACCCTCAATTCATGATTACCACCTCCAGCATCTCAGCATCTGAGCAACCAGGTAGCAATATGTTTGCCTGCTTGGAAGTCGTAATTTTTCTGCATATCTTGGAGCTTGCTCAGGGTTAGGGATGGGGTGGTTTCTGCCTCTTGGAGGACTTCTATCACTTCCTCCTTATAGTTCCTTGCCAAAGAACCAGCTTCCTGATCAGAGCCTTCCTCCTCCTCCTCCTTAACTAATTGGTGGTACAGTCCTCCACTGCTAGTGCTTCCTTTTTACTACCGGGGCAATCACTATGGTTGAGGTTTGGGTCTCTATCTCAACCATTGTGTCCTTAGAAGTAGAGGCCCACTTTCCCCTGCTGCTGTGACAGTGCTAGACAGAGTCCCAACAGGCACAGGCCATGCCCCAAAACAGTGCTAGGAGGTGCTGGATCTCATTGGGGTAAGCAGGGCACCTTTCCATCAAGTGGTGTGCCAATTCAATGGGATTGCATGCCTGTTCAGGTGTAAAATCCCAGGTTATAGAGGGGATAACAGCCCTAAGCACCTGCCCAAACCCTCCTACACACCCTGTCACCCAGGGATCAACTCCCTCTGGGCATGTTTCTCTGTCAGCTTGACAAGCTGTTTACTCTTACCCCAGGACCAAACCAGGTCCCACATACCCAACAATAAGCCAACAATGTTAGATAATAGGATGAAATATCTTATGTAAGGATGCACAAAAACCTCAGGAGCCCATGCAAAAGAGCTGGACACATCAACCCTGGAGAAGAAGGGGGTGTAATCCCTTGTTCTCTCCACTAGGTAGCTCATGCAGCACAGGAACAGCATCACAGCCAGGGCTGTACGCCAGTCCAGGCATACAGCCATTGCTTTTATCAAAATGTTTCCAAGCACAGCGAAATACGTTGATAAGCAGCACAGTAAACAGCAAGAGCTGAAAGCAGCCATTAAAAAGCCCTAGACTCTAATACACAGTAAAGCAAGCAAGCTCTGTGACCCACACAGGAGCCTGAAAATTAACAAATTAACATGCTCAGATCAAAACTGTCATTACCTCAAGCCCCAAGCTGGGTGCTAAAAAGGGCTATCATGAATTGACCTGACCAATGGCCAAACACCCACACAGCTGCTCACCCACTCCCATCTCCCATGGGACAAGGAGAAAATAGAAGTAAGGTGAGAAGACTCATGGATTGAGAGAATGACAGTTTAACAGGGAAAACAAAAACTGCATGCGCAAGCAAAGCAAGAAAAGGAATTAATTCTTTACTTCCCATGGCCAGGCAGATGTCCAGCCACTTCCTGGAAAGCAGGGCCCATGTAATGGTTGCTTGGGAAGAAAAATGCCATAACCATGACCTTCCTCACTTTGTCCTCCTTTCCCTGAGCTGTTATTGCTGAGCATGCCATTATATGGCATAAAACACCCCTTTGGTCAGCTGGGGTCAGCTGCCCTGGCCGTGTCTCTCCCAGCCTCTTGCCCACTCCCAGCCACTCCCTGGGGGTAGGGGGGAGGCAAGGGGCAGGGTAGGGCAGAGTGGGGAAAAGAGAAAGCTTTGACACTGTGCAAGCACTGTTCAGCAATAGTCAAAACATCCCTGTGTTATCAACACCGCTTTAGTCACAAAGCCAAAGTCCAGCACCATATGGGCTGCTATGGAGAAAGTTAATTAACTCCATCCCAGACATATCCGGTACAATCACCCATTGAGGGAGTCCCCTTTCCTCATTCTCACTGTCTGTAAAGTAAAAAAAGACTTTTAAGATGGTATCCATGGTCCTCAAGGGAAGCAGGGAATACTGGAAGTTTGGCAACGATGAGGATATACAACCTAATTTCTCTCTAGGTGAGTCCCAGCAGCTGAATCAACTCTCCTTTCTCCACTTCCCACCCAAAGCTCTTCCCCATGCGACTGCTGGCACTTACAGTTCTATGACGTTCTCCTTTTGCATTTAAATAAGCTTTGATTGCAGCCAAACCTGCGTACTCTCCTTGGGCTCCGCTGCAAGAGGAACACAAACCCTGTTACACAAGTGCACAAACCAGAAGGTGCCAGCTCTCTACTGAAAACTTCAGAATTGTCCAGCCCTAATCCTTCTCAATGGCTTCAGGCAAGTGTTAGCAAATTAAAAGCAGCACATCCCATGGATTAAATTACAAATGGACAAGGATTAATTAACAGCTCTTGCCTCTTTTGCAAACAGTAGATGAAAAAAGTTATGCCATTTTATGTGCTTACACTATGATGTTAAATCCTTTTGGTGACTAAGTTGATCCCCATTTCTGCACCGAGCAGGGGACTATGTGCTTGACTACAGAAAGACAAAATAATACCAACTTGTGTAGTAAATAAAGCCTATGCAGTGAAACGTAAGAACTCTTTCAGTCACATCCTAAGTGTAGAGCAAGTGCTCACTGCTCATTTTGTATCAAAACTACTGATGGACATGAACAGGCTGCAGCTGTGCTCATTCAGCTCTGCTTTATTTACTTCAGTGACCATGCAGACCTTAGGCATTCTTCAGTCAAACCTAGTATTACCTACTGCATCAAATATCAGTTTCAATAATTATATAGTTACCAGCTGATACAGCTTATTCCTATTTCAAATCTTTAATTTTAGCTCATAGAAGGGTATCAGTAACACCACCATTTTAAGCAAGCAATGGTGGAGAAACCATCCTTTATAGAGAGGAAAACGTGGTACTAAAGATTAAAAGAATAAAAAAGACCAAATCATTGAACTTTTAGAAGAGATGAGACAAAATAAGATTCTGCAGTATTGAAAAAAAATCTTGTTTTCATAACCTTGCTAACGCTTCTCTTTGTCAAATTCAACTTTAGCATCTTCTTCCATTTTTGGCTTGCAAATTTTCTTTAGAGATAAGTATTTGGAATCATGTTAAGGCGCAAATGTTCAGAAAAAAATTCCTACCTGTTTGGTTGGAAGGAGATTTTGTCATAGCCAGTAATCTCACATAGGTCCTTCTCTAAATCCTTGAAAAGCTGCTGATACCCTTGAGCTTGATCCAGGGGCACAAAAGGGTGGATGTTGGCAAATTCCTTCCATGAAATAGGCTATTAGAAAAAAACAAAACAAAACATGTGCTGCAACAATAAGTTCTGCAGACAACTCTGTTTTGTTGTTAAACTCTATGAAGGAAAGAAGCTGCCCTGTGCTCAAGTAACAATCAAACATTTCTTGTGCAGCAGGACAAGTTCCCAGCTTCATTGTAGAATGTGGCCTGGCTGAACAGAGAGCTTTGTCTGGAACTCAGGAAAAAAAAGAGAGTTTATGACCTTTGGAAGAAGGGGCAGGCAATTCAGGAGGACTACAAGGATGTTGTCAGGTTATGCAGGGAGAAAATCAGAAGGGCCAAAGCCCAGCTAGAATTTAATCTGGCTACTGCCATAACAGACAATAAAAAATGTTTCTCTAAGTACACTGGCAATGAAAGGAGGGCTAAGGAGAATCTCCATCCTTTATTGGATGTGAGGGGAAACAGAGTGACAAAGGATGAGGAAAAGGCTGAGGTACTTAATGCCTACTTTGCCTCAGTATTCAACAGCAAGACCAGTTGTTCTCTGAGTACCCATCCCCCTGAGCTGGAATACAGGGATTGGAAGCAGAATGAAGCCTCCATAATCCAAGGGGAAATGGCTAGCGACCTACTACACTGCTTAGACACATGCAAGCCTATGGGGCCACATGGGATCCACCCAAGGGTACTGATGGAGCTGGCGGGAGAGATCACCAAGCCACTTTCCATCATTTATCAGCAGTCCTGGCTAACCAGGGAGGTCCCAGTTGACTGGAGGTTAGCAAATGTGATGCCCAACTACAGGAAGGGCTGGAAGGAGGGTCTGGGGAACTACAGGCCTGTCACTACAGACCTTGGTGCCAGGGAAGGTTATGGAGCAGATCATCTTGAGTGCCATCACGCAGTATGTCCAGGACAAGCAGGTGATCAGGCCCAGTAAGCATGGGTTTATGAAAGGCAGGTCCTGCTTGACTAGCCTGATCTTCTCTGACAAGGAGACCTGCTTAGTGGATGAGTGAAAGGCTGTGGATGTTGTCTAACTAGACTTTAGCAAAGCCTTTGACACTGTTTCCCATAGCATTCTCCTGGAGAAACTGGCTGCTCAGGGCTTGGATGGGTGTACTCTAAATTAAATCCAGTTGGCGTCCTGTTACAAGCAGTGTCCCCCAGAGCTCAGTTTTGGGGCCAGTTCTGTTTAACGTCTTTATCATTGATCTGGATGAGGGGACTGAGTGCACCCTCAGTAAGTTTGCAGATGACAATAAGTTGGGTGGGAGTGTTGATTTGCTTGAGGGTAAGAAGGCTCTGAAGAGGGACCTGGATAGGCTGGATTGATGGGCCGAGGCCAACTGTATGATGTTCAACAAGGCCAAGTGCCAGGTCCTGCACTTTGGTCACAACAACCCCACGCAATGCTACAGGCTCGGGGAAGAATGGCTGAAAGCTGCCTGGTGGAAAAGGACCTGGGGGTGTTGGTTGACAGCCAGCTGAATACGAGCCAGCAGTGTGCCCAGGTGGCCAAGAAGGCCAATGGCATCCTGGCTGGTATGAGGAAACGCGTGGCCAGCAGGGGTAGGGAAGTGATTGTGCCCCTGTTACACTCGGCACTGCTGAGGCCGCACCTTGAATCCTGTGTTCAGTTTTGGGCCCCTCACTACAAGAAGGACATGGAGGTGCTGAAGTGTGTCCAGAGGACAGCAACAAAGCTGATGAGGGGTCTGGAGCACAAGTCTGATGAGAAGCAGCTGAAGAAACTGGGGTTGTTTAGCCTGGAGAAGAGGAGGCTGAGGGGAGACCTTATCGCCCTCTACAACTGCCTGAAAGGAGGCTGTAGTGAGGTGGGTGTTGGTTTCTTCTCCCAAGTAACAAGTGATAGGATGAGAGGAAATGGTCTCAAGTTGCATCATGGGAGGTTTAGATTGGATAGCAGGAAAATGTTCTTCACCAAAAGGGTTGCCAAGCACTGGAAGGGGCTGCCCAGGGAAGTGGTTGAGTCCCCATCCCTGGAGGTATTTAAAAGATGGGTAGATGTGGTGCTTAGGACCATGGTTTCGTGGTGGACATGCCAGTGTTAGGTTAACAGTTGGACTTGATGATCTTAAAGGTCTTTTCAAACCTAAATAATTCTATGGTTCTATGATTTCCAGTAACATTTTTTTTTTAACATTCAGAAGATGCTTAAAAATCCTCAGTTTCTCTTTCTAGGTCACCTATCCTTATGTAGAACTGTGGGATCACAGGGCAAACAGACGAGTCATGTGGAATAGTACGTAATGTTCACATTGTTTCACACAGTTTTGTTGCTATCCATTTTAATTAGAAGGGAAAATACAAGACAGAAAACAGTGAAGGGAGAAGACATAGAGAAGGCAGGGAAAGAAAGGGGACAAAGGAAACCTAGTGGAAGATCAAAGCAAGAAGCCAATAGGGAGAGAGTAGAGGAAGCTCATTCAGAGCCAAAAAGTCATTTGGTACCCAAACAGCCTGGCTAAGGCTCTGCTTCATTTGCTACTAGCTAGAAAAATGAGGCTATCTGGGGACTCCAGCTCCCCACCTGGGGAAAAGGAGTGCTATCTGAAGAAACAGCAAACTGACAAAGCAGCATGAATTGCCATTGCCACCTGACTCTTTCCATATTTCTGAGGATTTGACTGTAAGATTTGTAAAGCAGACAGAAGTTATGTACTGCAACATTGCATGAGGGAACCGGACTGTGATGCCTAATTCCAAAAATTTTTTTTTTTTTTTCCAGAATGGAGGCTTCAAAGGCACTCACTCTCCTGCTGTTGCTGCACTCCTACTGTGCTTTTCAGAGCTTTTTTCATAGTGGAAAAAGGAGCTGAATTTTTCAGCTGCTTCTGAAACTGGCTCCTCAGCTGGAGTACTAGACCAGAAGCAGTCTTTATTTCTCTACAGTGATGCTGGCTAGATAGTTTACTCATGTGGGTCTCAAGTAAGACAATATTATTGCAACTTACTGCAAGTTCAGCTGAACTATTAAGCTTCATTGTGCAGGACCCCTAAAAATACAAACACATTTGTCAGTATTTATTGAAATATATAAATCTGTACGTAAGTACCTAATTTTTTCTCTTTTTGGTAAATACCTACCAAAGGAATCATGCTGTGTACAAGGGAAATATCTTTGTTTTCTAATCTTTTCATGTACCGCACGATATTTGTCTCAGAGTGATAGCTGGAGAACACAAAATGTCGTGTTAAGGCAAGCAGATTAGCTATACCAGGTGGTTGATCTGTGCTCTAACATAGGAAAAGCCATAAAAAAAAGCATTAACACTGAGGATAATTTTTAATATACACTAGGTACTTCTTTCCAAATTGGTACTTTATGCTTGCTAATAGCAATGTGGATGAAAAAAGGCTATTATCATTCATTGAGAAAGGCTATCAGTAAATATAGCCTATAAGGGCTCTAGTAAGTCTGCTGATGTAAGTCCTTGTACTTGCTTGCTTGCATACTACTAGCTTGTACAATGTAGAACATTAATGGAAAAACACATCCCCCATATGACCATGAGTATTGCTTTGCTCATGTAAAACGTGAAAAACATCTAATTCCTAATTACATGAAAAACATCTAAAGATGCTACTAAATAGATTATTTAAGAGTAACAAATGACTGTGTGAATACAGCTACAAAACAGTCCTCAACTGACTCCAGTACAGCGTTTGAAAAGAGATACTTTCAGATTCCATTAAAATATCAGATATACAGCAATTTCACAAACCTGTTGAAAACCTGATGCGTCAAGAAGTTGGAAGTTCTCTTAAATGGGGTGCTAAGGATGCCTTTGGTTTCCTCGCCCATACCCTCAGCAATTAGCTCCTTTGACACAAGAAATGTGGAGTCAAATACTTTCACTGAAATTCTTCTTTTCACAGTCAACTTTCATCAGCACTAGCTTATACTACCAGCTTACCTCAAGATTTAATCAGCCCTTTATGTAAAAAAACCCCCCACTTTATTAGGATACATACCTGAAGGTATCTAGCACAACAGCATTATATTAAAACTGGGTACAGATGTCTCAGTAGTCCTCATCTTGGAAGTATTGCTGCTAATTACTAATGACATGCAATAAAAATTCCAGTGGGAGAGAAATAATTGACCACCATGTCCTAACCCTCACAAAACAAGTAACAGCCTGGACACAAGGTGTCCAAGCTGACCGAAATGACTAAGCGTCACAATCAGAAAATGGCATTACTCAGTTACATAAATGATTGTTATCTCATACTGCCTCTCTCTTTAAGAGAGGATCTGAAATGCTTAGCATTTAACAAATGGTCAGCATATAGACACCCACTGTCCCAAGAGCAGTTTTGCTTTTTACTAAACTTCTCAATCACTCAGATAAGTTAATCTGTATGATCTATTGTCTACTTACAGCTGAAGATTCGCAACCAAAAATCCATAATATGTCATCTAGGTCTTTCTCATTTACAGTTTCATCAAGTGATACTCCAAGCTATGGATAAAAGCAACAGTAATTACTTAAAGCTCTTATCCCAGAGGCATAGTATTTTTATTCTAGTTGAGAAAAAACATTCCAGAAACACAGAGGGAAAAAAAAGAAAAGATCAACCTACCCATCAACATGTAAATGTTTCATTTTATGTAATAGATGCAGAAATTTTTTTTATTTGCATAAAAATTTCCAATTCCTACCTTTCCCCTGCTAAACCATCCAAGCCAGATGACTCACAAGCTTCAAGACTTGTGACCTCACGTGTTTCTAAGTTTTTCCATTTAATAGGAAAATTGCCCATTTTGCTCAACCGCCCCCTCCCACCATCCCATTTTACAGAACATATTAGACTTTGCTGAAAGTCCTCAGTGCCTATCAAAACGTGGTTTAGATTTCAATCTATCTTTAAACACCACCACAGGACCTGAATTCCAGAGATAAACCTTGCATTTCATCATTAAGATTTAGTCTCTCCACTCCAGCCCTTAGTAGCATATTTAACATGAAACAATTAGATAATCTATTTAAATAGGCATAATATGAAAATACAATGATTATTTCTGGAAGTTCAGTACCTTACTCAATTTCATTCTTTATATTAACTTTATAATTGATGGATATATCTGAGCAAATTACAAGAAGTCTTAAATAATTTTGTTCTGTTTAGCATGTGTAATGACTAGAAACTTAATGCAGAAAAGTCACACTACAAATTTCTGAAAGGTTTAGGGAGTTGCTTACTCTGCCATCACTATAAATCCGAAAATTTATCTGTCTAAGAGCTGCCCTGTCCAAAACCTCTTTGACTGAGCATCCACACGTGATCGTCAAGGTATCAAAGAACAGATCATGATGTAGTTTATGACCAGCTCGCCTGAGACCTATAAAAAACAGTAAGTTAATTCTATTAGCTGCATACTGCATTGCCTGCTTACACAGTACTTGCATAACACCATCAATCTTGTAAGTAAATGCTTTTACATAATAAAACAAAATATTCCCCTTGTGTACAGAGCAGCAAAATCACCAGCTTTTTAATGAAATGTCACTGTGCATGAAGTGCATCTAAATCAGATTCAGACCTAATTAAGAATGCAGACTGAGCCTAGGGAAGATCGTTCTGATACATCAAATGTGTAATATATACTGTGGCAGAATTGGTGTACGAATGCAATAAAGACAAAGTAACAAGGCTGGAAAGAAAAAAGTTATTACATAAATGGATATTAACTGTCATGGAGCTTGCCATAACAAAGTTTAGAGTCTCAGTGCTTTTCACAGCAGCAAAAGGTTTTCCAGCTAAGCTGGCAAATAAAGCATGAATAATTGTGGCAATCATTCCTCAATTCCCAGCATTCCAGTTCTGCATAGCTCCTTCTGACAGCAATGATAATCATGCCAGTGAAAAAAACCTACCAGACCACATAGTCCAGATGCAATCATTATTTTCTGCTATAGATTCTGTGCCTCTGGTCAGCTGTCAAGCTTTGGGATTTCAGTATTCATAGCAGGTATGATACTCCACCCAACTTAACTGAAACATTCCTATTTCTTTAATCTCATCTATTACTCTTTTTTTTTTGCTATGTTATTAATACTCTGTGCAGATATCTGTGTGTAAACTAGGATGGTCCAGTAAGTGAAGTACAGAGCTTGTGGCTGGAAAACGGCATTTGAATCTAGAGGCTTGCTGTGTAGTCTTCTGTTAGTTTCCCAAGAAAACAGAAGTAATGCTTGCAAGCTCGTATCACATAGATATCTAATTCTTGGATGTCACTGTCAGAAGTACACAAAAACATCAGCTATGCATTTTGTATTAAAATGTTCTCTCTAAAGTTGAGAGAACACGTTATCAGCTGGCAAAAAACTCCTAAGTTTATTTAAGAAGACATATTATTCAAGAAGGTGTAAGGATTTAAGAACAGTTTCTGCAATCATTAAATACCTTCAGCCAAGATTAGAGTAGCATTGTGCACCCGTCTTGCAATATGCTTCAATCCATCAGATCCGTGGTATATACCAAACATGGCTGCCATATTAGCTAGAAGAGCCTAGGATCCAAATACAATTTAGGACATTATTATTATGTTGTTATTGTTGTTGTTATTATTATCAAAGATTATTTCATGTTAGTTTAGTGGAAAGTTTCTTTAGCACCCGCATATCCTCAGCTGATGTTATACTTGATTATGTGTTGCCTACAAAACAAAAGGGAAAGGCAAAATACTTTAATGAAACTGTAAGCACTGATTATGAATTCAATGCCCTTTGAAATGCAACTATGTCAGCAATTAACATGAACATAAATTCAACAACTGCAACAATGGCATTTGAAGACTCTCAAATAAAGCTAGTCTCATGGGAAGCTCACTGTTTAGGACTGGTACAAAACATTTATGGAATATCTCATGAATACTAAGTAACTAAGCTTTTTTCAGTATTAATAATTCCTCCTCAAAATCTGGCACAACATTAAGAGCATAAGCCAAGCATTGATAGGAGCAGAAAAAATTATGAACCTGCCTGCCTGAAGGTCTGTGGAGGTGTGCTGAAGACAACTATTTTTGATAATTACTTAATTAATTTTGGTATTTTCCTGTAAAGATAGATCTTTGGCAATGTAATATTTTTACATCGAATCACATAGACCAAAATAGAAGTTGTGACAATTTGCGCAAGTAGTTTTAGCATTTAAAAATGGATTTTTTTTGCCTTGAGTGGGCAATTTCACATCATTAGCATTCCTTCTGTTTCATTAAGAAATCTGTCTGATATTGATAACAAATAGAGCACTACTCAGTGGTGTTCACCCTATGAGACAGATGGACTCATGACACTGCATGAATTCAGGGCTAAAGTCTTTACTAACGGAAAGAGATACTAATACTCTCTCTTCAAGCAGGGTTCCATTTTTCGATGGACTCAGGAGAAATGCACAAACACCAGAATATTTCAATGTTATTCTTTTTTCCAGTAAAAACTCTCAAAAGTAAAGCTAACTCAGATTACTGTGATGTTAGGACTATAATCTTATGGTTTAACTTGTTCCCTTCTATGGCTGAAAACAGCATGACAAGTTACCTGTGCTGTGCAGATGTTGCTGGTAGCTTTGTCCCTCCTGATATGCTGCTCTCGTGTTTGCAAAGCAAGTCGGTACACTTCCTTTCCATTTGCATCTCTAAGTCACAAGCAAAAATGATGCTTTTGTTACTTTAAAATTACAGTAATTTAAGACATTGGGCTCTATGTGTGCTAACCTGAAACTAGTTAATCTGTCCTCAGAGACAGAAAGGTGCTGGAGAGAATAAAGCATAAATCAGGACAGCTGTGATACCTGTGATAACAGAGAGTGAGACTAAAGTCTCTAGATTTCTATTTATATCATACCATGGCTGGCAAATGTGTCTGGTCAGGTAGAGCACACAGTGAGTTTTCTAAGCACACTACACCAAACTTGGTATTTGCCTTAAAATGCCACAGATTATTGGAACAGTTTTAACTGAATAGTAATCCAGAACTTAATTTCAACAAACACAGAGAAGGCAGCATCTTTTCTAATGATGTCAAGTAAGGGCATGTTGAGTTTGTATATAAAAATAACCCATCCAACAAATTTGTATGAGATAACTGAAAGGGCTCTGGCCAATCCATCCTTTAAGAGATCCTTTTGCAGCGCTCCCAAGATGTTAAAAGTGGAGAGGTAAGAGCCAATCTAACTCCCTTTAAAACTACGAAAACTTTCAGAACAGCCACAAAAAGACACGGACAAACTACGTACACAGCTATATAAATACACAAATATATGTACGTATGTGGGGGTTGAATAGCTAGACTGCCTGCCTCAAGTACTTGCACACCAGTTATATGATATTTAAAACATTTTTATTCTAGCAGTTGTTTGGGGATTGCCTATACACCTTAGCTTAGTTTATCATCAGTCCATCCAGAGGGACCCTGACAGGTTGGAGAAATGGGCTGACAGGAACCTCATGGACGTCCAGCAAGGGGAATTGCAAACTGCTGCACCTGGTGAAGAACCCCATGCACCTGTACATGTTGGGGGCCACCCAGCTGGAAAGCAACTTGGCAGAAAAGACCCTGGGGGTCCTGGGGAACACCAATATGAACATGAGTCAGCAATGTGCCTATAGACCAAAGGCAGCCAATGGTATCCTGGGCTGCATTAGGCAAAGCTTTGCCAACAAGTCAAGGGAGGTGATCCCTGCCCTCTCCTCACCACTGGTGAGGCCACACCTGGAGTACTGTGTCCAGTGCTGGGCTCCTCAGAACAAGAGAGATAGGGAGGTACTGGAGAGACTCCAGTGAAGGGCCACAAAGATGTTGAAGGGACTGGGCCATCTTTCCTATGAGGGAAGGCTGAGAGAGCTGGGGCGGTTCTGCCTAGAGAATAGAAGGCTCAGGGAGGACCTCATCAATGCATATAAATAGCTGAAGGGAGGGTGCAATGAGGATGGAGCCACGCTTTTATCAGCAGTGCCCAGTGACAGGACCAGATGCAATGGGTGCAGACTGAAACAGAGGAGGTTCCCCCTGAACATGAGGAAACACTTCTTCACTGTAAGGGTGACTGAGCACTACCACAGATTGTCCAGAGAAACTGTGGAATCTCCTTCCTTGGAGATCTTCAAAAGCCATCTGGACACGGCTCATCTGGGCTACTGGCTCTAGGTCACCCTGCTTGAGCAGAGGGATTGGCTCAGATGACATCCAGAGATCCCTTCCAACCTCAATCATTCTGTGATTCTGTGATAAAAAACTTAAAAAAAAAACATGGCAGAAAGCTGCATTGAGAAAGTACCTCCTTAGTAGCTTCCATTTTAGCATTTTCTTTTCCAACTTTCTTGAGATGCAGGAAGATGAAAGTAGATTAAAAATATTAAACTAGGTGTATTCACAGAGTAGCAGTAGCATGACCTTGACAAATAGAATTACTGTTCTTTTGTAAAAGATTGTACCAGACTTCTGATCAAAATCTGAATTGGGGATCAGATTTCAGAACTACAAGTAAAGCCTAAGGATACCCTTAGAATAAGCAAGATGACTAAAAATATATTCAAAGGAATATTACTATGCAAATGAAGTATTTCTAAGCTTCCTGGTATCTGTTAATGACATTAGTTATTTTGGTTACTGAAGTACGTCTGCATAGCTTCTGTGCCAAAGATATGCAGTCTTTGCAGTGACAATTATTTTGCATTTCTACTATTCCCAGTTAGACATCTTGTCAAAATTCAAAATATGTCACCAGCAACAAGAATTAGAGCAAGTTTTTGCACACTATTTCTCTGCTTTGTTTAAGTTTCACTAAAATTTGAACTAAACTAAGTTCCTTCTTGGTTACTTGGGAGGTTCACTGAATTTTCTACTTCTTCCCATTTATGTTTTTAATGACTGCCATTTATGTTTTTAATGGCTGGATGTCAGAGAAAAAGGTGTAACAGTACAGAACAAATGGAATAAGTTAGCTTGCAAAGCCTCATGCCATCACAATCCTCTCTGCTGTTTCAGTTATCTCTTCATCCCACATTGCAGCAAGCACTACAGAGAGTTAACAGCTTCATTCCACACAAATGCAATTCCTTAAGCTTGCTTCCTAAAACTCGAAAGCAACTTTTATTCTCACAGTTTTCAAGAAAAAAAGTGTTCGGTACAACACCATGGTCAGCTGTTATTCAGAAAGGCTGCACAAGATGGTCATGATGTGTTCGAGTTCAATTTTCCCTGAAGATACTAATGGTGAAGGGAGGCCTTACCTCGTAACGCCCACCATTCTGCCTGGCATCATTCTCACTAGATTTTCCTTGACAGCAAAGAATGCTGCGTGGGGTCCCCCGTAGCAGAGAGGCACGCCAAACCTCTGGGAGTTACCCAGGACAACATCTACCCCAAACTCTCCAGGAGGCTTCAGAATACAGAGAGCTAGAAGATCAGTAGCGCAGCAGGAGAGAGTCTGAGAAGAGAAGTGCACAGAGCAGTCAGCCTCTTTTCTGAAGGAATGGTGCTCACGTGGGAGCTAAGTTTGAACAAGACAGAGCTCCAAACAGCTCCGTATCACTTGCACAGAGCTGAGGCGTGATGGTTGTAATTGTTGCAATGGTTATCAATTGTATGAAGCTGAAGAGTAATACTTCAGATGGTATATCATGTAACAGTTTCTCTGACTATGCATCAGACTGAAATCTGTGAGACAAGTAAAGTTTGCTTTACCCCATTCTGATGAGCTCTTTCAACAAGTTCAGAGAAGTCTTCCACCTTCCCTTCACTGTCTGGATACTGAAATAATACTCCACTGACATCCTTTCCACTGAAATCCATCTCATGGGGTAATTTAAGCTCAGTAATAACACCCGTATAACTGGAAAACAAAAACATGCAGAAGACAACCTATTCAAACCACTTCCTGCCTTGGATTGATACTTAATATGATATTTTCATGGACTGAAATATAACTTTTTTCTTTAACATACAGAGAGTTAAACCCGCTTTGCAGCACTAAACATTGAGAAAGTTTCATGTCATGGTATATGGCACTGAAGAATAATTGCATTTGATAATGGTTATCAGAAATATAGAGCAAAGCAGCACAGAGGATAGATGAGCTACTTAATATCAACATTTTGCTGCTTTAGCACATTTAACTTTGAGAACCAAGTCATGTTTTTAGAAGATGGTTACTTTAAACTGTAAACTTAAAATGGATTTAGCTCTCATTACAAGAGAAGTTTTGCTATCTAAGGTAGTTAATTTCCTAGTTAAAAAAAATGATCAGACTAAATTCAATAACCAAGTGTATATATTTGTGCCAACAAGGGGAAATTAAATATTTTCTTTTTATCAGATGTTTAGCCTCTGTTTAAAATCTTAAATTACTTTGCAGTTGTATTTGAATGGAAAAGTAGAAGTGACACCAAATGTTCACAGATTTCTGCTTCTATTTTGCAAAGAAAGTATAATCCCACATTCCAAAAATGTTAGGTATATTGTGAAAAGGCATAGATTAAAAATTATTTGATGTTAAGTGAAAAGATCTGGTGGAAAATGGGAGAAAAACATTACTTTGCTCTAGTTTGGACCACTGCTATAGTTTGAGGGTGGCACCGGGCATCCACATAGAACTTCCTTCTTTTGTTGTGCCTGTTGAAAAGAAAAGGAAAAGAAGAAGGGTTACTTATCAAGAATATATTGGTTTCCATGGAAATAAAATTAATCGGTTTTCCAAATATGAGTTTTCCTAAGTTAAAAGGCAGTTGTAAATTTTGGTTATCATAACCAAGTTAAGTGTAAGACTGAATGAAGGTTCTGGTCCATTTAAAATAAGAAAGTTCATCTCAGACAGTCAAATGAGATTCATACGTGACAAAACTTAAAACAGATTATGAAACAGAACAAGGAGCCAATTTAGGAATCTGCAGGAGTGCCTCCACATACACATACTTTTTTAAAGGAATACAACTCTGGTCTTTAATACAGATTTTCAGTGTTGCCCCGGATAACCAAACATGAACCATCATAGTAGTAAAAAGGAGACTAAGACAATTGCCTAGTTTTTTCTGGTAAACATGATTTCGTGTCAGAATGACGCTTTGTACAACTGAACAGTTACAACACAGTCTCTGCGGTGTAATCTCCTTCCTGATATACAGCCCTACTGTGACCTCCGTATCATCTCTAAGATTTCGTTTGATTTGCAGAACCCTTTCAAATGCCCCTACAGTACGGATCCCAGAAAGTAAACTTGGATACACTGATAACAGTTTCACTTTTAGCTACTTAGGACTGGTGTACTTCACTGTTTTTTAAAGCTCCTTTTTAACCGCTAGTGGAAAAAACCAATTTACATCTTTGGTGTTCACGGACACAAGAGATTCATGCCACAGACTGTTAGGTTATGTGATAAAAGCTCCCCTGCACACCCACAGAGAGAGAATGGCAGGTAGAGCAGTCCAAATAACACCCTGTCCCTGTTTCTCCCGGGCCCATCTCAGGAGATGTCAGCCCATCAGAGACCCAACCCCACAAGCACAGAGGAGGACAGAGGCCCCAAGGCAGGTGGGAACTCAAATTAATTAATTAACATACTGTCTGCCCCCTCCCCCCGGGGGGGAGACATTATAGGCTGCAGGGGAAGAACATTTTGGGATGGAACGGGTTTATTATGAGGTGTTTAGGGGAAAAGGGATACAGCTCAGTGATTCTGGGAGGAACAAGTGTAAGAAAACAGAAGGGTAAGGGCGCAAACAGGGACAGACATATGTAAATACTTGCTGGTTGATGCACTTGCACCTAACTAGTGCAGTCTGTCCTCTCTTCTTGTTTTTCTTCTTGTTAGTTTAAGGGAGACTGACAAGGCAGGCGATACCCACTGCTCTCCCCTCATCTCCCAAGCCAGCCATTTAATTGTAGAAAGTTATTAGGCTGGTCAAGCATGACTTCCCCTGTGTGAATCCATGCTTCTGACTCCTGATCACCTGCTTGTCCTTCGCATGCCTGGAAATGGTTTCCATGACTAGCAGTTGTTCCATCACCTTCAAGGGATTGAGGTGAGACTGACCAGCTGTTAGTTCCCTGCATCCTTGTTCCTGCCCTTCCTGAAGATAGGAGTGACATTTGCTTTCCTCCAGTGCTGAGGCACCTCTCCCAGTTGCCATGATTGTTCAGAGATAATCAAGAGTGGCCTTGCAATGACATCAGGCAGCTCCCTCAGCATTCATGGGTCCATCACATCATGGTCCACAGACTTGTGTATGTCCAGTTTGCTTAAGTATTCTCTAACCTGACCTCCTCCACCAAGGGTAACTCTTCCTTGCTCTAGACTTACCCCTGGTCCTTAGGCGCTTAGGTTTCTTAAAGCCTTAGATGTGTGAGCTAAACACTCACATCAACGCTGGGAACTTCTCTGGGGGCTTAATAACATGGGCTATAGTTGTTTAGTGATCTGCTTGGAGTGAAAAGCCCACACTCAACTTCAACCCACTCACCTATCCACGCCTACACAGGAGAGACGCCTTTCAAACTCCAAAATACCTTAGTGCTATCATTTAATCATATATGTAAACATAGTACCTGTGGCATAATTGCATGGCTTCTGCAGCGGCTGTCCCCTCATCCAGCAAAGATGCGTTAGCCACATCCATTCCTGTGATATCGCACACCATAGTCTGGTAATTTAGCAGGCTCTCCAGCCTGCCCTGAGAGACCTCAGGTTGGTAAGGAGTATACTGGGTAACCCTGTAAGAAAGGAATTATGAGTTTGGGTGGAGGAAAATAAACGTGTAACAGAATTATGCCAATATATAACTGAACTATGTCATAGGAAAAATAAATTGTAAAGCATAATTCACTAATGTGAAAGTCTATTAGAAAACAGTTATTTTTAGATGGCTGTAACTTATTACTGTCCTGGAAGCCTGAGAATATTTTCTCTTCTGGTATAACTTGGCTTTTTACAGGAGAAGAATTCTATTTCTCCATTTTGAAAGGAGAAATTACTCTTAAAACAGAGGTGTGAGTGCATCTTGGAGAATGGAGAGGGGAAGTAGGTGCTGAGTGTGAGAGAACTGAGTCAAGTCACAATTTCCAGACGAGAATGCTTAGTTAAATCATATCTAGATATCGCCATTATCTTTCAATACTGTTCCTGAAGCCCTTTACTTGTCAAGTCCTCTCCACTCTTATGGGAGGAAAGGCACTTGGCATTTCAAGCTCATAAATATGCAACTTCTTGTGAAATGACAGTTTCCATATATATTAGTGAAGGGAAGTGAGAGTGATGTGAGTTTTATCTGTTGTCATCTGGAGAATGAAACAGCAGAGGCAACATGAGCAATTCCTTAGAAAAGGCAACAATCTAAGGGAAACACTCCATTATAGCAGTCCAGAAAAACAAAGCAGCATGGGCCCAGGGAACATGGGCAAGAACAGAGATCAGACTCTCCTCTCACTGCTGGAAATCTGGGTACTAGATTCCATGGTGGTTCAGGACAGATTTATACCAGTTTGAATTGAGAGTAGTGGCCAGAAACAAGTGGTAAGTGGGACACTTGTGGCCTCCGTTTTCTAGCAATGGGAGAAACCAACAGTTTGTTTCCTGAAAGGGCAGTAGTAAGCCCTAGACTTTTGAAAAATTGTTATGGGTGAAGGTATACTCTTTAAAGAAAGACTGAAGTATTTGGAAGCTCCAGTCATGTCAAGTCAATAGAAGGCAAGCAACAAAGATTTTTAAAGAACAAACTGCAGAACCTGTGGTATAGAGCAAGATGAGAGGAACAAAAAAATAGCAATGCAAGAGAGAAGGTAGGAATTCAAGTCCTGAAGAAGAGAATGGAAGAGCTAGAAAGAAGGACATACTCAGTAACTGAACTCAAAGTGTAATACATGGTGTTAATGTATTTAGTGTCTATTTAAATGACATGTCTGCTCAAATTGCTTACTCATACTTTTCAGTACAGTGATGGAAAGCAATAGCTATATATAAAATTAGATAAATATTGATGATTTTCCCAAGCACTGAAGGATTTCCTGCTTCTTAGCCAAGTCTAACACTAAACTACTTATCATCACATACTTGACTGCATAGTTCACAAGTGAGACCATGTCCTGGGCTGCATGCAACATTTCTTGCCTCAAGAGTAGTATTTTTTTTTTATCCATGGCTGCTAAACCCAGTTTTCAGTTTGTCAGATAAACTTCTAATCTGGGAGTATAAAGATTTGTTTTCTGAATGGTCCCCCTGCTCACTCAGTTCTCACCAGTAAAGAGAGTTAATCCCAACTCCTTTTCATGAACAGTGAGTTTTCTTGTTTCATAAAAGAAACTCCTCTGTACTTGAAGTCAACAATCTTACTTTTTCATTTTATTTAATTAAAGGCCTTTTTTTTGCATTATAACTTGCAGGAGAAACTAGATGTAGACTAATAAGAATTAAGGCATTGAGATTAATTGAAATGCATTAGAGAAATATTACTCAGTGCAAGAGAAGAAAAATAAAATCAAGAATCATTGCTTAGTACTTGCCAGAATAATCAGTTAACAGAAGTGAGATTTTAATTGAAGTTAAGTATACTGGCTTTATTGTTCATTTCAACAAAATATTGTTTCATTAAGCCATTCCTAATCAGGGACTGATGCAAAATGAGAAAGGTAGGGAAAAAAAAGAAAAATCAGTAGTAGAGAAGCAATACTTCATATTAAACACTTACTTAGCAAATTTTGCTAAAGGACATTAAAGTTGTAGCTGTGGTGCAAAACTCTTTGTTTTCAAAGACAAAGCATCTTTCTTAAAATGTGAGTAATGTTGACAATTCCTTACCTGATGAGAACCCCCTTTCCTAAGATTTTATCTTGTATTATTAGAGATAGACTTTGCAATGAATGCTTCAAAGCCAACCACTCAAATCAGCTACTCAGAAACCTATTAAAAAAGCCTCAAGAATTTTCATTCATATTTTATGCTCAAGTGATCTTTTAAATGAACTTTTTATATTGTGTAAAATAAATAAATAAATCTATTCTTAAACTGTTACTATGTAGCTCCTAATTTGATGGTTTCCTTGAATAGACTCAATCGTACACCACATAGTTGGGATAGTACACTATATTACAAAACAGAATTAATGAATCCTTGTGATTTTGATGTTACACTTTTGAATGGTAAAAACAGTTGAAGTAAAAGCAACCGATTTGAGAAAGGATGGAAAAAATTCAACCAAGGAATCCTGAATTCCAGTATTACCACAAATTACAATGCATAAAGTTTAACAGTTGTACAGGTAAAGACACCCTTTATAAGATACAAACATTTACTTTTTTTTTTTTTTTGGAGGTTGTCTGGCACTGTCTAAGCATCTTCCCCACAATTTCTTCAAATAAAAGAGCTGGCTTTAGTCTGCACTCTGACTTCTGCCTGAATCTACTACTTTTTAAGTGACTTTTTATAAAGTAATTTAAAAGCAAACTCTTTAAAAGTAAAAGTAATTTCTAAAGTAAACTTTTACATAAATCAAACCTCTGAAAAGCACACTAAAATGTCTCTCATTCAACACCCCCCCCCCCTTCTGCTTAGGTCTGTTCAAGTGGCTATTCTGCAAAAAATTCGAATCCAATACCAATGACATTAAAATGAAGAACTACTGTCATGGCACGGAGCACCACTACAAACTGCCTCTGGTTCAGTCAGACTGGAGGAAAACACGATCCCCACTCAGCATCTGTTCTGACCAAAAGTACTTCTGCAGAGAAACGCTCCCAAGCTAACTAAGGCAGGCAGGTCATGATGCAAAAGAAACCATCCATGAAAAGTTTGTGGCACCTTTCTTGAGCCAGAGTCTGACCTTCAGGAGTTCAGTAGTAAGTGGCTTCAGTTTTTGCAGGTTTTATAACACTTTGCCTTAATTTAGTGTGTCACCCTTTTCCTCAGCCTACTCTCAAAAATACTTGTATGAATACCAACTTTGAGATACCAATGAAGGTTTTAGAAGAAAACCTAGCATCAGAGCAAGAGGTATCCAGGAAGTATGTTTTCAGCCAAAAGCTAAGGCTGCTCATCAAAAGACCTGGCTTATGAAAGAGCAGAAGCTTTTGTACTTGGGAATTGGGCTTGTTCTAGGCTTAGCAACAAACAAACAGACCACACATTAACTGCAACATTAACACTTATGACTTCTTTATACTAAAGTTAGCTCGTTTCCATGCAAAGATTCTGAAAACTCCATCATCAAGCAATGTTAATTGAACTAGTTCTTGATCAGTACTTGCAGGTGTACAGACAATAAGACCTAATTTATTTTTTAATATACAGTAAGTTCTAGCGAAACAGTTCACCATGTATCTTCCTTAGTGATTTTTTTCTATACTTTGACTGAATCTCTGGAAAGGTAATGTATTCATCATTAATACAATAATTTTATCTTGTTATAAATTATGTTCTTGCAGTTTTAGACATCTGCAAGATTAATCTCATGCAATGGCAGAGCTAGAATTGATTTGTATTTCCAGTTACAGGGAGTATTCTTTTTGAGAGCTGACAATAAGATGAAATGAACTTAAAGTAAGGACAGACCACTAGCACAATTTAAAACCAATACACATGAGCCACAGAAAAAAGATAATTCATACATCTGACAACACTGGAAAACTGAGACTGAAGTTCAGTCATGAATACATGAAATCTTTAAATTATCTGACTTTCATGGACTGTTAAGGCCAGAAGTGAAACAAAACAAAACAAACAAACAAACAAAAGCTTTATTTAATTGAAATATGCACATATATAAATATTGCAGTGTAGAAAGACACTAGAGTAAAGCTGTAGAACTAGGAGCATCCAACTGCAAGTAGTTCCATCCAGCCTGTAAAATTCTCAAATGCCTTACTGTATATAGAGTTCCAGATGCATCACTTGGCACTTTATGCATCTTTGAAGAGCAGTTATAAGGGTGTCTCTAAACCAGTATCTTACCCATGGGTTTGAGAAAGCTGGATAGTCTTATGATTGGGCATGGAGACGTGCCAGTTTCCACTCAAAGCATAAACACTGAATTTACTGCCAATTTGGCATGCTTTGTAGTTGCTTGTGCAGCTTTCTGTGTCCCATCTAGAAACTAGCTAGTAGAAACCAGCTGCGTAATGTTTACATCAGATTTTTCCATGGTATGCAGTAATTTGAAGACTGCAATGCATAGGTGCCCAGTGCTATTAGCTAATGAGTTTAGTAAGTTACACTACCGATGTAAAGATTGCAGGTGTCCTTGGTACAGGTACCTTATTCTTACATAGTTAATGTCTGAGGGCAAAGGACTCAAGAGTGTTGTACTTTGGAGACGGCTGCATCATGCTTCATTGTATGGTATTAGTGTGACTTTAAAGGCCTTCTTGATTTTCAAGGACTGATGGGTATTTTTATCCATTTAAGCCCCCCAAATAAGTACTACACTGTTTTGACACATGTTAATAAGCCTATATCTAAGCTGATTTCTGAAACCAAGCATTCTTCACATCTTCAGTTATTCACTTATGTTTATGGCAGGCCACAGAATTAATTTGGTATGCTACGAGGGAAGGAGCTCAGCACACTGTGTGTGGAAAAATTTAATAAGCATGTTAATATGGGGTCCAGCAGAATAAGGACTATGCATCCGCACCAGCAGACAGACGACAGGTATTCATACATTTGAGGGGTCTGTGCTGAAAGTCACATAATTGGTGGTATGCCCCAAAATAAATCCTTCTGCCTGCATTTTAGAGTTGCGACGTTCTAAGGATAAAGGAAGTTACACGTTGTCCTGCTCTTTATTTGTCTGGAAAAAACAGGCTAATATTTTTGCTAGTATCAACTAAGTAGTGTATGGAAAATTCTTCTAAGGCTTCCACCCTGATAGCCTTCTATGACGGCATGACCGGCTGGGTAGACAAAGGGAGAGCGGTGGATGTTGTCTACCTTGACTTCAGCAAGGCTTTTGATACTGTTTCCCATAACATCCTCATAAGGAAGCTCACGAAGTATGGGTTGGATGAGTGGACAGTGAGGTGGATTCGGAACTGGCTGAATGACAGGGCCCAGAGAGTTCTGATCGGCGGGGCAGAGTCCAGTTGGAGGCCGGTAGCTAGCGGAGTTCCCCAGGGCTCGGTACTCGGCCCGGTCTTGTTCAACTTGTTCATCAATGACCTGGACGAGGGGATAGAGTGTACCCTCAGCAAGTTCGCTGATGACACAAAACTGGGAGGAGTGGCTGATACGCCGGAAGGCTGTGCTGCCATTCAGCGGGACCTGGACAGGCTGGAGAGCTGGGCAAAGAGGAACTTGATGAAGTTCAACAAGAGCAAGTGTCGAGTGCTGCACCTGGGGAGGTCGAACCCCATGCACCAATACAGGCTGGGGGATGACCTGCTAGATAGCAGCTCTGCTGAGAGGGACCTGGGAGTCCTGGTGGACAATAAGCTGACCATGAGCCAGCAATGTGCCCTTGTTGCCAAGAAGGCCAATGGTATCCTGGGGTGTATTAAGAGGAGTGTGGCCAGCAGGTCGAGGGAGGTTCTCCTCCCCCTCTACTCTGCCCTGGTGAGACCCCACCTGGAGTACTGTGTCCAGTTCTGGGCTCCCCAGTTCAAGAAAGACGAAGAACTCCTGGAAAGAGTCCAGAGGAGAGCTACTAGGATGATAAAGGGACTGGAGCATCTCCCCTACGAGGAAAGGCTGAGAGAGTTGGGCTTGTTGAGCCTGAAGAAGAGAAGACTGAGAGGGGATCTCGTCAACACATACAAATATCTTAAGGGCGGAAGTCAAGAGGACGGAAGCAGTCTGTTTGCAGTGGTGTCCAGCGACAGGACTAGGGGCAATGGATGCAAACTGAAACACGAGAGGGTTCAGTTGAATATGAGGAAGAACTTCTTCACTCTGAGGGTGGCAGAGCACTGGAACAGGCTGCCCAGGGAGGTTGTGGAGTCTCCTTCTCTGGAGATATTCAAAGCCCGCCTGGATGAAGTCCTGTGTAGCATGCTCTAGGTGAACCTGCTTTAGCAGGGGGGTTGGACTAGATGATCTCCTGAGGTCCCTTCCAACCCTTACGATTCTGTGTGATTCTGTGTGACACCCCATCTTAGCACGGAGTTGTTAGTCACAGATTGCTAGCATCAAGGAAGTGTTAGCAGCCAGTAACCAAGACCAAAAGGAAATAAAGTATCAAAAATAAGGGATACTTATCCTCTACCTTCTGTGACTAAGTTAAATCCCTCACATAGGAAACTGGAATTTTAACTGCAGCATTTCAGGTCCACAACAGAATTTTCTCTGCTTGTTCTCTAACTTTAAATTGAAGTGTTCTTTGGGTAAAAGGTTATCTGAAAAATATCTACCCTAAGTGTTTTGAACGAGTGTCTTTCATGAATACAGAAGTAGTTAAAATGTGATTCAGACTTAAAAGAAAAGGATGTTTATGCTTTTCTAAAGCTACCAGTACAAGAAATTCCTGAATGCTGACTTCTGAGGCACATATTAGTGCATAGTTTTGGTCAGACAGTTTAATCTCACAGTAATTAAGCTATTCAGCTTTTATTGTGTACAGAGGTATTATAGATCATGGTCCAAATGCTTCAAAAAGTTTTGAGTATTTCAAATAATATATTTCAATATATTCAAAAAGTTGAGTATTTTCTTAACAGAATCTGAGATTTGGGAAGACTTTTGTGGTAATCTTCTGAAGACAGCAGTGTAGGTCAGCAGTCTAATTTTCAACTGAAAATACATTCTGTTCTGAACAGTTTCCTCCTGAAACAGTTTCCTCCTTTGCTTCCTACCTGGTCCTAGCAAGTCCAAGTGTCCTAAATACTGTGAAGTCCTTCACTTTCATGTCCACAGACTTCTATGAACAATCTTTTATAAACTGACATTGTACTCCAATGCAATCCTTGCTCTAACGAATGTTAAGCAATGAGAAACTACAAGTCATGTTGAGGAAGGCAGAACCGATCAGAAGCAATAGGCCTGCACGTGCAGCATTTCCCTTGGAGTTGCAATGTGAAGTGTGTTAGCACGGAAAGTGTTACACGCTTGGCAGATGTAAGGAGAGGTTTGATTTCCTAAACAGCTTCCATAAAGTCTATACAGTTGCTTTTGCACACAGTGCACACACACGTACACCCTCTCCCCAACAAACATTCAACCTTTGCTTCAGCCATCTAAAAGTCTAGCTTTTAGTCATCTAGTCTGACTTAACTGGATGCTCCAAGATAGACTCCCCCAGTTGTTTCATTAACACTATATAATTCTTTAGGATTTAAAAATACACAGTTCATTTTGGATCACTTTTTAACTGTTCTTATTTTTGCCTCTAGCAATTGATTATTTGTTTTGCGGCACCATACTGAAATATTTAGACTTCAGATGTTGCAACAAGTGGGTGGGGATAAGGCCAAATAAAACTTTGTACAGATGTACTGCATAGATTCCTTGAGTCCAAGCAGTGCAACTTTTTAGTCAGTTCAAAAGTTTGAGACGCAAATAAAGCAGACAAGTCTGAAAATACATAGCCTTGGAAGTCCACAGATACACAGACTCATTTATGGCAACCCAAAGAACAAAAAATATGGCTTCTAAGTAACAATGGCTTTTTACGCTGACTAATTTGACTCTTTGGTTGGTTGGTTGGTGTTTTTTAAGTATGTATATATAAACTTTAAATACTGCTTTTATTAAAATAAAAATTACTCAGTAATAAAAGATGTCAGTTATTATTTTAATACAGCACAAAAGAGGGATGCTGCTGACTATAGATAAGGGAACTTCTAAACCAAATGAGACAATGCAGGGTATCAATGGCATTCAGCCTGTTGGAAGGTGAGACTCCACATTAAATTTAGTTTTTCTGTTGTATCATTTCTGAGTTACAGTTCTTTAGAGAAATGTCAATGCTAAATGAGTATTCATAATCAAGCCTTAGTGCCTTTGTCAGGAAAAGCCCATCAAGAGACAAAACCCATTATTATTTATATTAATGCTCTTCCTAAAATATAAATCAATGCATTAAAATATTTTTCTTTTTACATTTAAGTAAAAATAAAAACCCCAACAAAACAGTAACATTCAATTTCTGTCAGACAGGCTATTCTTTTGCTTGTCTCAAAAAACTGAAACATCAGCTGGGTGATGAGAACAAAGTACCATATTCTCAGCTTCTTCATGAATGAATTATCAGGTATTGCTGTCTACCTCTTTTCAGGCACCAGCAAATTATTTGTTCAGACAAGAACATACTTTATGGATACACATTCAAACTCGTCAAGGTCTCTGGTTTGAAAAAAATCAAGAAAAATATTTTTAAATTATTTTTTCTATAAAATTTTCAAGGCTTTTTACTTCCTCATAAGAAAACCATAATCAAAGTATTGCATAGTATTTAACTACCATCACCCAAAATCTCACACACCGGTGGAGAAGGGAGCTGGTTTAAACTTAGGTGGAAGTTAGGAAAGAATTACTTTAGGAGTTAAGTCTGTATACTTCCTTAAGGCAAACAAATATTCTTATTTTAGTTCATAATAAATAGGAGCTGTGAATAGAAGTCACAAAAATCAATTAAATATTTTACAGAAAAAGCATCTTTGAAAGTCAAAAGTATTCTTTTTCACCTCCAGCTTCATCATGAACAAGACAGTTCCTACACTTACACATCAGTATCAAATATATGAAAGCCTAAGTCAAAAATATAGGTTTGGGGTATATTTGTCTATGCTCATTCATAAGACAAACTTCAAATGTGTATTTATACGTGCACATTTAAAAAGAAAATGTGGTACATTACCATCCTGCATTCTCCAACAAATTCCGTGCAATGGGCTGAGGCACTGAGCAGTTGTAATAACCCATGCCTATATAAGACCTCCATATCTTGTTCTTGCTTGCAATATTGTATAGAGTTTCAAGGATTTCATTTTCACCTAATTGAAAAGAAATTATGTCAGAAAACTACTGTTTCATATAATGCTAGCAGTTTTTAACTGAAATGCCTTGTACCCCTGTGCAAAAAAAAAAAAAAGCAACATTGGTGATGCAAGTATAAACAATAGCAGAATAAAGTGCAAACCAAGAACAGTGAAGATAAAATAATAAGCTGGTAATATATTCTGGGAAAGTTTAAATTCTGCCAAAATTCTGGAAAATGCAACAACTGAATAGTAAAAGGGTTTCAACCAATGTGGAAACAATCGTGAGAGAAACAGCTGTAAGCAAATGGCTTATGGAGCCCTTTTTGTGCTAGCACCCAGGAGTAATTTCTTAGTATTAAAGAACTTAATTTTCTCACATTTTCCCTGAATAGCTGACACAATGGAAGAGTTCCTTTAATTAAATTTTAGTATGCTTCACCAGTTCATTAAAAAAAAAAAAAAAAGTGTGAATACATTATTTCTAGCTTAAGAAATTCCATTTAAGATTAACTTTTAACATGAGACTGCCAATCCAGTTTGGAGAGATTACAACAGAATGCTTTTGAAGTGTTCAGAGGGAAAGCATTTGCACTCCTTCCCTCCCCAACTATAGTTTAGTCTTTGGTCCTGCTTCTACATACTTCTCAGTGTCCTGAAGGCTGTACAGTAATCACATTCAGTCAACCTATTCCTAGTAGTCAATGAATAATGCTACCCAACATCTGCCAAAAGGGAAGGTTTACAAAATATTTTAGTACTTAAGGATGCAGAAAGATGGTCAGTAGGCTGTCTAAGATTATGCAGAGAGATAGGCCTGCCCAACCTAACAGACCTGGGTGGAATTGGACACCAACCCTCCTAGGTGAGGGGAGCAGATCTTTTTTTTTCTTCCTTCCCCTAAGCTGACCTTGGAAAACTTCAGTAGTGGGGCAGTTGCACCAAGTTCTCTTCATTCTGCACTGCAATGTGAAAAGCACACTTTAGAATATAAGGTTACAAATCACTAAAGCAGAATAGCTTGGGCCCTGGAAGTCTCAAAACCTATTTCTCTCCATAAATTACTCCAGCAAGAGAGAGCAAGTCAAAACAGATAACGCTCTGGAATCTGGTGGTAAACAATTCTCTAGGTTTTGAATTAATTTCTTCTGCAGCCATAAACAAAGATATCATAACTTTAGCTCTGATTTCAAAACTCCTCTCTCCTCTTCCTTTTACTCAAAGTGCTACTACTGCGTTCCATGTATAAAGATTAATTTTTAAAGAAAAAAATCTACTGGTTTTCAATTAGTTTCTTCCACAGTCACATTACACCTTCCACAAAGCTATTTTTCTACTGATCTTTGGTTTTCACTTCAAAGTTCACTTCTTCTCTGCCTTCTACTCAGTGTTACTGTTAGATCTAATGTATAAAGATTAATTTCTTGTTATTCGTAAACTGCAGTTTTTTCTGGAGACTCAAGAGTCATGAGTTTATTATACTTGAACTCAGCAATGTCAGGGGCAAAGTTTCTAAAGCATAGTGAGCAGCTCCACTCCCCAGCACTCCTCCCACACTGTTTATTCCAGACAGATGCACCTGTTTGGTTATTTTAGGTGAGAGTTTTAACACTGCAGAGATTTTCCTGTACCACTTGCAAACCAAAAGTCTGATGAAAGACAGTTTGGGTGCAGTTTGAGAGGAAGGATTGTATTCTTGCAGAAGTCAAACATCAATGATTTTTTGAATATGGTAGTGGATTTGCTTGTTTAACTCCAAATGCAGAAGGCCAAACTTGGTGATCATTTAATATGCTCACTAGCCCAATGTCACACACAAAAATGCATTGAGTGCGATTTCTGCAGTAAACATATACCACAAATACTGTACTACGTGCCAGATAGATAGCATTGCCTTTGTTTGCCCTACTGAACGTTTCTTTTAGACAATCACTTCTCAGCAAATATAGCCACATGAAGACACCAAACTTGTGCTAGAGTGCTCCGAAATTAAGCAGCTTCCAAACTGATTTGAGACACAAAGCAAAAAGCTAAGACGGCAAGCAGCTTAGGTAGCAATCAAGCTTATCCCACCTAGAAGAGGTGCACTGACAGATCCCAACACTGAATATATTTGTATTTATTACAGTCCTATGAGGTACCTGTGAAGACAGTTACACCACTAGTTTTAATCAGGGTGGTGAAATGCTGGAGGGCACACCCCCTTCCACTCCTGCTCCACCTCGCTCACCCTGCTCCTGTGGTCACTATCCATCTCATCAAATACGTATCTCCCACGTTTGGCATGCCTCTTTGAAGAGATCTGGGATTAACCCTCCTTCCCCTGTGCCTTACCACCTTGAAGTAGTTCATCACAGCATGTCTTTAGGAAGACAGCACAAAAGGAACAGCAACCCTGAGTAATAGAAGTCAATAGCCCCTGATTTGTCTGTACAGCCCGGCTTACCTAAGGCCAAATATAAGTCTGTATAGATTTATGACGATTTAATTTTCACAAATTCAGTGTTTGCTTTACACTGATATGGTTCTGAATTCAAGCAAAACTGATGTAGACTAGGGTAAGGGAAACTAACTCATATGTTGGGGTCCAAAGACCAGAGAGCAGGGGAATGAAGCCATTCTTAACAGCATCCCCAGGAGGGGATGGAGGAGATGCAGCTGGGCTCTTCCCAGTGGAGCATGGCAGGAAGGCAAGAGGCAGCAGCATGGACTGCAACACGGGAGGCTCAGGATGGCGATAAGGAGAAGCCTTTTCCCCATGAGGACAGCCCAGTGCCGGAGATGGGTCTCCATCCTTGGGAGTTTCATGTTCTGACGGGGTGAAGCCCTGAGCAGCCTGGTTTGAGCCCATGGCTGAGCCTGCTCTGGGAAAGGACCAGAGACCTCCTCAGGTCCCCACCAGCCTGAAGAGGACCCCATGTCTCTGTCAGTAGCTGTACTTCCCATCAAGCCTAGCTTTTAACAGTGGATTCCCACAACATTATTTGTGAAAGAGGTCTAACACTTTATTGGTCACTCTGTAAATAACTAATGCTAATATAAAGGCAGAAGAATGCTAACCACAAAAGGGATCCTACGTATTCTTAAAAATTCATTTTGAAATTCAAAATTATATTGCTGAGTTTCCAGGTTGGTCAACAAGGGTGTCACCAACCCCAGAAAATTACACAGGCTTTTTCTGCTGTATAAAGTATATACCTTGGAGCATATATAGTAGAAGCAGTGTATTCTTGTAAATATATTTATTTAAAGCTAAAATACATGAGACTAGGATTTTGGCAAATTTCAATACACAGGGTTGAAAAAACACAGCTTGTAAGATGTCGTGTTGGGTTACTGATTTTTTTTTCTTTTTTAATTTTCCCCAGCAATGGGTAAAATAAAGAAGCAATATCCAAAATGGGGAAATAAACCAGAATTTAAAAAATTGATTGTGCTTAAGAAATGGCTAGAAGATGGCCATCACACTCAGCTTTTTGCTTTCAGTTTTCTAAGACAACATGGTTGAAATGCCTTTATCTTGAATGCATTTTATTGGGTGTACACTATAAATTCTTTTAAGAACCTTGTTCAGCAAAAGAAAAAATTGGCAGCTAAGTCACTGCAGTTGATCTTTATTCCCCTCATCAACTCATTAGATAATATGATCAAAACCAGTAACCAGAACAAAGTTTATTGATCTTGCAGTACTGCTATCTTAGAAGAAAAAACTTACTGGAGAAAACTCTGAGGATCCCAGTAGTAGTTCTGTGAGGACACGTCGTGACTGATACACCCACAGGTAGAAAAGGCAAAATATATCACAAAAATAGTAAGAGGGAGTGAATTATCAGCTTATAAAATGATAATACTGTTATTTCTGCTAGTATTTTTGTAGATTTGCCTTGAACTTCTGAGATACCTGCAAAGTAATATGGTACCCAAAAAAAGACAGAGAGGAGAAGACAAAAGGAGCAGTTTGAGATAAACAACTTAGAACTCACAACACAAAAGGGAGGAAATTGTCTGATATAATTTTGTCAGGTCTTTAAAAAAAAAAAAAATCTAGCTTCTGAGATCAAGGAAGCAAGCTCTTCAGAATAGTTGGTATAAAAAGAAGGGGATGAATTTATTTCTCTTGCTTTAGCAATTAATTTGATCTCTGTTAAAAAAAAATAAAAATCAGATTATACTGAAGCAAAACAGTTCCAAAGTGCTGTCAGACATGTTACAATGCTGCAGGACAGCATAAGAAGGGTGCCCGTTCCAGGTGCTGAGTCCAACCAGCAACTTCCGAAGAGATGGGTGGAAAGCTAACACCATCTGTTGCCCTGCCGTCGCCTCCTCCTCCTCACTTCGCTCAGGCCACCAGCACTCACTTGTGGCAACACTCAGGAGGACACCAATTACCCCTGCTGTAAGTATCCAAAGCATAGAGGGTGGACTCGAGCAGAAGGCAATCTGAAATGACTAAATTGGCTCAAAAAAATCTGATTGACATTAGGAGCTGATTATAAACTCATCCAGAATTATTTTTTTAAGTGGCGTTCTAAATACAAAATCATAGTTAAAGTAGATAGAACTCCACAAAGAGCAGTTGAAAAACTAAAAACAGTCTTTCCTACTATATGACTGCTTCTGAGTGATATCACTTCTAAATATGTTTAGACTGGAGACCCAATTAGTTTCTTATATAGATTTTATAAACTAATGTCGACAAATTCTAAAATTTGAGAATATAATTGGGAATATTTTGGAAAAAAAAATCATGTCAGAGTTTGTAGACTCACTTTTTTAAAATTCAAATCCTGAACAAAAAAGCAGAAATACATAATATACATACAAAGCCTACACATTAAATGAAGATGGACATACAATAGCAACATCGCAGGGACAGCTACGACTGATACAGACGGTGGGTTTGCAGGGATAAAAGAAAGAGGATTACTCTTATAAAAGATGATCTGTTCTTTTACTTCAAATGGGTCAATCACTACATACGTGCGAAAGGGCACTCGACACCTAAAAAAAATGCGATTGTGGAAGTTTACTTGCTGTGACAGTGGGAAAATAACTCTGTAATACCAGCTGATTACAATTAAGTATCAAACAGATGTCCAGCCTTGCTGTAAATATTGACTGAACAGAAGTTACATGCCAAAAATATAATTTTCTCTTAACTATATCTGCAGAAAAAGCTGACTGCAAAACACCTCCCCTTCCCAAATTGCTTGAGGTACAGGACAGCAACTCACTGTTACGGGAAACCAGATGTTTTGCCGTTTCACCCCTACTGGCTTTGTGTGCCAATATTCAGGTGGTTTTACAGCACTGTCAGTGGGCTCATGGCAGCAGGCACTTTTAAATTGACTTTTTTTTTTTTGTCAGAAACGGGACACAGATACTTCCGTCGTTTTACACACCAAAGGAAGCAACTCATTTCAGAAACCTCTTGGCACAAGCTATATTCCTTCTCTCCTCCACGACTGACCATGTCTGCACAAGAAGAGATCAGATCTACAGGAACACCAATAAATTTTGAACATGCATTTCTAGTGTAGATCCACTTGTACCAGCAAAGCTTAGCATTTACCAGAATGGCTTTTTCACTCATACATAAGCAAAAAAACCATCCAGTTCAGGCTAGAAGCTTTCTCTCTCAATATATTATGTCCTTCAGGGAAGTAATGAAGTTTGATTCTTCCACTGAAGAATAGGGCTGTGCTAAAATGTCTAGGAAAAGACAACAAATGTACAAAAAGATTGTGCTTCTGCTGTAATCAGAGGTTTTATTTATGAGCAGCAGGATATGCCGTACCATTTAAAACAGCTCTTTAATACAAGCTGCTTCCACAGGAGGACTTCTTTCTCTTATTGCTACCACATACATGCAGCCAATTGATTTTCTGTCTTTTAGAAAACTTGTTTATATTACCAAGGGAAGGATCTGTAATGCAAAACAATCTTACTGCTACACTTATTCAGAATTTGAAGATACGCATATACACCAAACGTACACACCTGAGACTAGGCCCAAAGCTACAGAAGTTTAAAAAAACCCAAGATAAAATTGCGGAGACCAGTGATACTCACTCAGATGTACTATTTATGGTGTGTGCATGGTTTTCTTGGACTGCATATCTGATTGTAGCTGTAACCATTGACTTCAGTGAGACTTCAGTGCAAGTTCAACTGCGTTTCCTAATACAAAGGAGTCGCTTGAGCGCAGCTGGTTTGTTCCGCTGCACTCTTAACCCGTGTAGTCACTGTGATTATGTTTTTTAATTCAAGTTATACAGAAAAATGGAAGTGCATATTTAAACCACTTGAAGTTGAACAACATGTTTTGAATTGCCTTGCCCTATTTTCTCATTGCACTAAGAGTTTGGGGGACAGTGGGAGTGAAGTTGTCTTCATACAAATAAAAAGATGTTTAAAATAAGATACAGTTCTCGTGACACTTGCCCTATTTTGCTCT